GACAGGGAGCCATCTGAGATGCAGATATATTGATGAAGGACCATAGACAAATATAGTATTCACCGAATATTAGCGACAGTCGCTCAAATACATGTTGACGTTAGATGCATCTATAAAAGACATTCGGAACAGCGAGGCAAACGTCGAACATCATTTATGTCAAGAAAAGATTACTTTACTGCGGATCATCCGTGTTTCCAACAACAGTTCGACGGGCAAAAGCTTACAGAGACTCGCTTGAACGTGTGGAATAACCTACTTAAAGTTTTGCTGTAACTTCTTTTAGTATAATTATAAGTAGTAAATTTTTTTAGTACTTTTAGTATTTTTAACAATTTAGTATAATTATAGTATATTTAGTGTAATTATAATATAATAGTTACAATGTTTACATTCAAAATTACCAAGTTTATTAGCGATACACACCAAACACTATCTCATCTTTAAGAAGCAGGTCTCACTATTGCTTTAGATCAGTATTAGATATGATGGTCAAAGGCAAGTGTTTAACAAGTTGCTAATCTTTGCAGTATCTAGAGGCACGATCCGACCATTTGATATCAACTTCTTTGTAGCTCCCAGCAAAAGACCAATAGCAAAGTGGTCGGCGATAGCATTAGTAGCCGTAATTGTTACATAATAGTGATACGATGTAGAGGCTGTTTTCCTCATGTGTCCATTCAAAAATATCGACTTATAGTTCGAGTTACGCCGACTAAGCGGCAAACACATCAATAGGCGAATAGATTAATTGAACAATTGACGGCTTCTACATCATCAACCAATAGGTTCAATACAGTTTCTCCCTCTACGTCAGTGGCGGCGTCGTCCTCTGATGATGTTGACAGATCGCGATCGTCGCATCAACTGAGAGTCTGTGGCTGACACCCGGAGGCGGCTGCCTGTTGCTTCGGGGCAGTTGTCGTCGGTGCTGGCTGATGTGTTGCCTCCGCCGCAGGACTGAGACACGGCCTCGTTGGCGGTGGCTCCACCTATCGCTTACCTTTCAACAAGCTTCGCGAGCGTTCATAAAATGAAAGACCACCATCATCTAGGCTAGCTATCAGATCGGCCCAACATTTTGCTTAGGCACAAAGGGACACACAGGTGGTTGCATTCGAGCTACAACAGAACACTGACTTTTACTACGTATTTGGCATTGGGCCTGGAGGAACACCACAGAGACAGGACCACATAGGTGTATTAACTTACGTGGAACTCAGATGGATAATACCTATCGTCGGCGGGAACTAGCTCTACTTCGTGATTAGTTCGCTTGATGTTCGCTATAATATAGTTAAATACAACAGGTAGTGCAAAAATTCAGCGCAATTAGTGGAAAAAATGGATGCCAACGACCAATCGTTACAATGGCTTCAGCTGCTCACGGGTTTAGCTCTCTGAGAAAGTAACGAACCATAGCGTAATCTCCGGAGAGGCAGCACCTGTTGCTCAAGGCACTTTGAATCCTGTTCTGGTTGAAGATAACAACAGAGTAGTTAAACGATAGAGGTAGATGCATGAAACAACGTTTACTTTGTGTTCACAATAATAATAATAATACGCCTGTTTATGTACAGTCGTTGAAAGAAATTTCAACAGTCAAATAGAAGCCGGTTGCTAATGAAAGGCCTAGGTATTGGGGTGTTTGCCCTCTACGTGACGTATTTTCTATCGGGTGTTGTTATATCGCAGTTCATGTCGCTTCTAAAATATGATCAATTCAATTTCTATAGTATGGACACTGAGTAATATGTGTCAATTTTGACCTTACGTCATAAGCACTGATCCCTAGTTTGATCATCACAGTCTTCATGTGAAACTCTAGTCTTCACCGAGCTATGCGAAGCTAATGCACTCAGTTACAAAAGTCGACAGCAGTAATCTGCATACTAACATTTATAAATGCCACGTAGTTTTCTAGTTAGCAACAAAGATGATTCGAAGGTTAATATAATGATGCTATCTGATGTTATCAGATGGCATTGTTATTGATAAATCTAATAGAGCTAACAACAGGACGCTCCCATCGATCCAGCTACGCTGTTGAGCTTAACGCAAACGAAGACTGACTAGGGGCATATGTTCTAGATTGGCTTTTGTCGCCATGCTTTTAAAAAGCAAAGCGTACGAGTCGAACCTGATTGACGTTGTATGCATAGGAAAAAGATAAACGATTTCTTCTATTTTTGCCATTATCATTATTACGGTACCAACTTCCAGCTTCGAGCGGGCTATGCCTATTTGATCCGAGCTACAGTTTGGTATGGGGGGTGACGAGCATGTCAATTCCACTTTCTCACCGACCTGAACACATATTTATACCAAACTGATTTTTATTATTATTCCTTAGAGTTACAATCCAATATGGCCAATTGCTTCGTTCAAAGCGTACATATCCAAAAATAGATACATAAGAGCTATTTTCGTTTGGCGATAACCAATGTGCCTTCCGACCAATTATTGTATGCGTTCATCAATTACTTACAGTCTAAGAATATGTTTATAGGAACCCGTTCAGTTTGAATTAGAATAGTTAGAAGTTTTTCTAATTTTTTAAGTAAAATAAGAGATCATTTTCGGCCACAATTTGCTATTCTGACCGCTTCCGTCAGATGGCACACTGGGTGCAGCTAGTTGATCGTAGTGTAATCGTGAAAATATACTTTGCTCTCAGGTTTGTCCTATTCTTCTTGCACCTTTCTCTTATACTTCTGGCCGTTTACTCATTCGTATGAAGCGTTTCCATTAGATTGTTTCTATTTATAACTCAAACTCCGGTAGAAGTTGCTCTTGTTTTAAAAAAAATTGTTTTTTTTTTTAATGTTGTGAAGAAATATCCGCTGTAGAAACAGCACAGTAGGCCATATTATATTCAGATTAACGGAGTCGTAACACCCTAACAAAGTGAACAGGCTTTTTATAGACTGGTCACAGAGATGACTGTTTTTTTGCCGGTTTTTCCAGATCATAAAATTTCAAAACAGCGAATTTTGCTTTCTCTCAACGATCTAAGCTACAATTGTCACGTGCCAAATAAGCTTTATAATCATTGATTATCAGTTATCACGTTTAAATAATACCCACAGCCATATCATTACCATAGCAATGATCTAACTTGCTATAACATATCTATGTGATAATATCTATTATCTTGATGCGAATATCATAATACTCGTGTCATCCGTGCAGATCAGCTGTTGAAGATCATTATGCTTAGATGTGACCACTCTTCGCCCTTGCTCATTAATTAAGTTATCGATATTACGCGCAGTGCTTGTTGATGTCCGATAACGTGTGCGGCTTTTTTATCAGCAGAGCGGGCCAAGTCATCACCTGCGACCATGTTTGACCTCCTTCCCTTAGAAGGGGGAGTATCCGTTCGCCAAATGGCCAAAGTCATGTGTGCCTGTCAGAACTGTTCAGCCAAGAACCAACATCGATTGATCAGAGAGCTAGAGGATCAGCATACTTCCATCAGATTCTGCTGTTTGCAGTGGAAAAAATAGGTTGAACATTGAGGAAAGACGTTAGCTAATTAGAAGTATTCTTATTTGCTTGAAGAAGGGCAGCGTGTGGAATAGAAAGATATTGTGTCATATGTAATAGTTACTACATCGTCGTATTACAACAAAATGCGGTAACAGCTTAGTTACAAGACAGTATGTAGGGTCACTTGGTTCGAGCCCGACAATTGGGATGTTTTTTTCGTATAAAGATAGAGTTTTTCGGGTACACAGCATGTATCATTAAAGCAAGCCTATAAGATCTGCATTGCCAATACAGAAGATAAAATTTGCCCCCCCCCCCGTTAATCTCGTATCTGTAAAGGTAAGCCTTCAGAGCTGTGGCCACAAAAAAGATTACTGCGAACTTTGATTTTTTAAGCAGTTAATATAATTCCTTCGTTAAGGTCCTTCTGTGCTAGGGAACGCTTCTATTTCACTCATACGTGACACTCAATGCTGGTGCTTGTTTGAAATCTTTTGACGTAACTTTCTATTGTCACAATACAAGCATGCTGGGTAATCATTATAGTTCCGTGCCTGTGTAAGAAGTTTGAAGGGCTATACTGTATAAATACGATATTACTAATAGTGCATTTTATTTTATTTGAAAAACCACTCCGTGCTTTGTAGAATGAGTCAAACAATTTATAGTTTGTTGCTTTTTGTGATTTCTGTGTCCCACGTTCTGCTGATGCTTGTCAATCATCCGAAGTTATTCTGTTCCATGAGTGTATTTGGGTCAATCCGAACCTGGGCCCCTTGCGTTAAGTAAGTTTAAATACCTCGAAACTCAAAGTTCGGTAGATCAGTTTAAAGCAGTTAGCTAAATAATCGTTGTGTTGCTAAGATACTATTTGCCGAGATATATTTCTGTTAAACTACTTTCGTGTTATCAGGCTAGATAATTTTATTAATTTTCTATGCAGAACCAATAGTAAGTAGCTTCCTATAGGTTTCTTAGATTGGCATGCGTGTGGTAATAATGTCTTCCGTACTAGATAATACGATGACAAGCCAATCAGTGGTAATAAGCACCACGGGCACGCTGCGATATAAAATCTATAAATGAGGACTGTAGTTTAAGAAACAACACAGTAGATTTTACATTTTGCTAGTCATACATCGTTTGTACTTTGCCGATGTTTGTTAGTAATTTATTCCTACTTAGACGATTGGGTGCTCACTCTATGCTACGTATCATACAATGTTGTTAAAAAAAACAGGACAATTTCGATTAGGAATTTGTACTATTTGTACGTAAATTAGATATTCACAAACTATCCGTTCGACGAAGAGACAGCCTTAGAATAAAAACGAGCTAGAATTTGCGGCACGAAATTCTAAAAATCGAAAGTAATTAGTAGATAAAAATGAGACCATGAATTCGGCTGCAAAACCACACATGGATTCAGGGAAAAAGTACCCACTGAAATCTAATAGACTGATCGATCTGCAGTAAATTAGCCCCTGCGTCTATTATGTCCGTTACAGATGAACGCGAGGACGTCCAAAAGAAGGCGTTCGCTAAATGGATAAATCAGCGTTTGGTACAAGGAGGCTATGAACCGCTCAAAGATCTCTTCCTCGTAAGTTTAACCTTTTGATTTTATGATATCTATTCTGGATAGTGAGGAAATCATCTACAAAAAACCATCACGATGAAGCTAACGCCACATATAGGCTGTAAAAAAGATATGAGTTGGTTGCTTATAGCTAAATGATTAATCTAAATGAAAAAGCTTCTATTAAACTATTCGTCCTCGTTTAAATTTAATAAATTAAATATAGAATCTATCTTCCCACATTATCACTTAATAGGTGTCTACGCTTGAAGTGATAAGATGCTCGATTTAGGTTAAACATATTTCCTTCGATAGAAGCTAATCGGCCAGTTGACCTGTACAATTTATCTAAGTCATGTTAGAGTCGGGAACGTCTAGAAATGACGACCTTTACCGCCGGTTTGCTGAACGTCAAGGGCTGCAATTTCTTGCTCGCCTAACATTATCTTATCGGTATATTAGTCCGTACTGAGGTCGAATAGAATTCGATTTTTATATCTGTGCATAATTTAACCTTTCCCCGATTTCGAACATAATGTCTACCAATTGGCTCTAGCATCTATTTAACATTTGAAAGCTTAAGAAAAATGTACGTATTTTAAAAACACGTAGATACATTTTTCATACATTTTGACGGGTGATACCTTTGAGATATATCTAAACATGTATTTAGTTTAAGAACTTTAGCTCATCGTTAGGTGTGCTAAATATTATATCTCGAAACCGTGAACAGTGGACAAATTAAGTGTCTTTTTAAACGATTTGTATTAGTAGAACTATACTATATATAATAGAACTAGATGGCTGTAGACAACGGTACTGGGTATTTGTGTGTATTGATAAAACGAGGCTCATTGTTGTACAAAAGATTGGTCGAAGTTTAAATAATATTTCCATTGTTTAGTACAAAAACCAGCCGTCAACGCACAAAACTATTATGGGTTGCGGGCAATTAATATAAATGGATTTTCAGAGACACCTACATGTACTACGAATGGAGCAATTTAGTCCAGCTTTGTTGTACACTAAACAGATGCTTTCCTAGAAAATATCCAAACATTTGAAGTAAACGGATAAAGTAAAAAATAGTAAGTTCGTTGTACCCATTGGTAACGTGAAATATCGAATGTATGTTCAAACGAAAGTTGTAATAATGGCAGTATCTCTATTTTGTGAGACAACGACGCTCGTTTTTCGTTCGGTGGCACGTTTCATTTTTCAATCACAGTGTCATACGAAAGGTTGTCATGTTTCGTGTTTTCATCAAGAATCCTAGTGACTACTTCAGTGCTACTCTTTCGGCTGAGCAACGAGATCGACGTTGATCTCATACCTTATACGCAGTTATTCAGGCCGTCCTTTATTGTTTGAATTTTCTTTCCGGTAAGGTAACCTGTTTATGTAACACATCATCAAAGAGGTTGTCTAATGTAGGTATGATTCTTCAGGTGTTATAATCATAGATTGCCTACGTACGGGGCACGTTAACACGACACTTCGCTAACTCTGCTCATCGTCTTACGGCTCCTTTTATTATATTTTTATAGGATCTACGAGATGGCACTCGGCTTCTCCAGCTTCTCGAAGCGTTGTGCGGTCGCCCATTTCCTAGGGAGAAAGGTCGTCTCCGGGTGCACCACATGAACAATGTCTCGCGCGCCTTGCAGGTGTGCACATTATTTCTTAACTATCATTCAACCATTGATCCCTTCATTCTTATAGGCTATATGACTAATACAGTGTAAGAAACTACAGTAGGGATAGGTAGATAATAGTAGGTACTATTGAGAGACATGTGCAAATAGGTTACTGTTTCGCAAAAGCAGTAAATAATGCCTGTTACTTGGCTCGGAAGACGTTACCTTCTAGAATAATATTTCACCGTAAACCAAGTCATGTCTTGTTATCTCTATATAAATCTAAATCGTTTCATTCGACATGAATTTCTATGTCATAGGTAAGCCATACGTTTTCCAATGTGTCAGGGGCTTGCAACATCTTCATAGTCTGCTCTTTTTTTTTTCTAGGTGTTGGATTCACAAAATGTGAAACTGGTAAACATCTCTACCAATGACATCGTTGACGGAAATTCCAAACTTACGTTAGGTCTTATTTGGAGCATCATTTTGCACTGGCAAGCGCAGGATGTCCTTCGAGCTAACAAGGTACGCGTGAAGACAAAGCTCGTCGAAAGATTTATGACCCATCGCATGTGGAAAAGTGCTTAAAATTATATGTTTTTTTTTTTTATCTAACATCATCTACTAATTATTTTCATTATGTGCCATTGCATTAGCCAAGCTACGTACGTCGTAAGCCTTGTGTAGGTTGAGGCGTCCATACTTTTTCTGACACACAACCCGTGATATATCATTCAAGATAGGTACATTTCACTTACCGAGTGCGTAAGCTCAATTTAAAAATTTACGCAAAATATACCTTCACACGCAATGAACAAGTTTTTCCAAAGGGTAAATCAGATGAAAATACATATTCAATGCCAATATGTATAAACAACTAGATCTATGGCTGAGTAATATGCTACAAAAAGTATTTGTTCTAACTAGTAGTCTTTGTAAGAGGCAGTTTCTCGTACCTGTGCTGATCTAGTAGTAATTTCCATAAAATGCGTAAGGTAAAAGGCCGTCGGTCAAGTAGGTGTATTAGTGTTTGCAAATCTATAGATATTAAATACGTACAAAATGACAAGTATGTGCTATCTGTTTAAACTGTTGTGATCTTTTTTGTTTATATCGAACTTCACAGTTGACGGGTCTGCACACTTCGTTAGAACGTACGCTACTCGCGTGGTGTCAGGAGATATGCGCGAATTACGCAAATTATGTAACCGTGACGAACTTCACGACGAGTTGGCAAGATGGCTGGGCTTTCAACGCACTGCTGCATTACCATTCGCCAGATATGTTTAATTTTGAGAACCTGTTCTGTCTCAAAGGAGAGGAAAAACTCGAGCATGCTTTTGAGGTAGGCGATGCTCCTTATTTCAACCTAGTTATATTCTTTAAATTTGGCTAAAATTTATAGGTGCTCACTCCTTGTGTAACAAATGGTGTACGGTAGTGAAGTATATACATATTAGTAGTAGGGTTTCGACGTCGTGTTGATGATAAGCCGCAGTCTATGAGCATGGTTTACAATTTTTCAGATTACTGCTTCAAACGTATGCAAATCGACTGCTTGAGACTCTGTTACATGTTATTCCCTATCTAGCTAATAACAAGTACCTTGCAATACACATATCGGTCCAGGTGGCCCATACATCTTTTGGCATCGATAAGCTTCTTGACCCCGAGGATATGGCGATTCCGGACCGGAAGTCCGTTATGATGTATGTGATGTGTCTGTACCAGAGACTACATCATTTGGCGCCCGCAGGGGTAAGTTTTGCATGTTTTTTTTAACCTCTAAAAATCGACTATTCCGAATCAGCTATGAAGAACTAGATCGACGGGTCTGGTATTTAATTCGTAAAACCATTCGGTAAACAAATGGTTAAACTAGACTATGCATAAATGGCTGTGGCATAAAAACAACGACCGAATTTCACAAATTGTACACTCTTAATTAATGGGCGGAGATATAGTGAGGTTCAGTTATTATGATGCGTATTTTAAACAATCATGGAAATGAAATTCCTCGATAGAGGGCGCAATTCATAATAAAAAAGCCTCTATTAGTATTATTCACTCTACAGATAAGCGATACATAGTACGACGAATGTTGATGACAATGACGATCTGGTACATCTGCGTTTGTGTGATTGAGCTGTAGGAGAAAATTTCGTAGCTACGTGAAGTTGACCCAATTTCAAAAAGCAAATTTGACAAAAGTAAAATACCCACTGTATTCCTTTCCCGTTGACCCTCGTCAATAAAGTTCGTCGGTCACTATAACGTTCCGAAAGTAATATTTTGGAGCCAACACCATTTTCCTTACCAGCCATTCTCTAGTGATTTAGAATACCTATCCGTTATTTTAGCCATGAACATTGAAGAAAGACGTCACAACGTCCAGGATCAAACGTGGTAACACAAAAAAGGTTTAAGGTTAATGCTGTATTTCGTTAGCTCAAAAAATCGACGTTATTATAAGGCGCCGTTTGTCCACTTATCAGTAGACAGTATACCCGACATAAATCGTTCCTGTCCAGAGCTTAGAACTCAGCGAAAATGGCATTTACATTTTATTTGTTAATAAACACATAACCTTTTTTTTTAGTTATAGATTTTTTAATCTTACTGGGCAAAGATATATATTCGATAGATAGTTTTTTAAACGACGAAGTGAAATAATTGGTTGCCTTGCGTTTATAAATATTAAAAGTGTATAAAATAAAAAGCATATAAAAATATTAAAAAAAGATATTAAATAACAATAAAAAAACTGTTAGAATTTATAAATGTGGAACGAATTCTGTTTGATGAGCGTATACAGAGGCAGGGCTTGTGCCTTAATTTAATGTTTGTTCCACAGTGTGATATTTGTCCATAATTGTGACATTCGTCATCAGTAACACAATGACGCCTTTTCGCTTCTAAGCCTTGCTGCTGAGCCATCTTTACTTTTACACTAGCTTGTCGGTCGCGATCCACCTCGACCAGCGATAACTGCCAGTTTAAGCGCTAGAACCGAGCTCATAGGAGCCTCCTTAGACGCGTTTCTACTAGACGCTTTGGACCAACCCAGTTTACCAATAATACCTTAGCTCAACTCCCTTAGACAGCATACGTTTTCCTGTTCAATCGAGAAGCGCTATCCCTGCCCCGCTACCAATGCCAGCGGCACCAAATAGCGCGCTAGCAACAAATTTCCGACTTACAAACTGATGTTATGTCGCCGGCGTACGGAAGCTTGTGGTTGCCCCTATATCATAGTGGGCAGTTGACGTTCAATGCACGCTCGCTGAGTTGGCAATGAGTTCGACGAATGTTTACTTGAGCATAACAGCTAATATGCCTTCTTTGTCTACTACACGGCTGTATTTCGAAATTACTCTGTGGACTACGGAGTAATCCATTTGAATAATAGCTTGTTTATACGGGTAGGCAGACGAAGATAGTCAGAGTTTGAAGCTTTTCGTGAATCCTTTATCGTGGCGATAAGGGGGACCTATAGGGAAAGCGAAATCAGACTCAGATAAAACAATTTGCTAGTGGCTAAGTATTACTATTTTTTACCTGCGTGTCTAAGGGCCTATTGGTATGTTAAATGTTTCATGCTGGAATGTCTTTACTACGAGCCACAATAGCACTATAACGATGGAGGATTTAACACTTAACGGTTAATGGCCGATTTACCGACTGAGCTTTGAGGCGTTTTGCTTCAGCCGGCAACGTAATCGTTCTACCAGGACACGTGCTACACGTTGTTTGCTGTGTAGCAGAAAACCGATTCATTACGCGATTTGGCGGAACTGATGGCTCGCGCTGCGTCCATTAGCGTGTGGCCCTCTCGATATGACGCTTCGTGACGGTTCTGGACGTCTTGTAGCTGGCACGCTTGCAGCTACACAAGAACGCAGCGGAAAGAAGAACAGTTTATCGTCCTGTTGACCGTGCTACCATAATACATAGATGTTTAGACAAACATAAAGAAAAACAATGTCTACTGGGGTGGAGAACCTTGTCTGCTTGGGCTAATGCCACTAATAAATGGTCTCGGATTTTTTGACGAAAACATACACCGGCTGCATTTATTGTGTCTCTCTGTAGCAAAGATCTGCAGGGACAACAAGACATGACATGTTATGATGCTTTAGAGTGTGTGAATTAGACGGCCATTACATAGCAAAGGAGCGACTGTGCGAGGGGATAAAGGAATAATCACTGGAAGAAGAGGAGGAGGTTTGCGCCACGTCGAACGCGCGAGCGAACAAATATGCATAAGGAAAAAAAAGGCCTGTGACACTTTTGGTACGCAGTGTGAACAATCGGCTTTAAGGCAGACTTAGCGCGCAAGCAAGACAGGAGTTACAGGAAGCTACACTAAGTGTTGTCAGTTAATGACGCAAACGGTGAACCAAAGCAAATTCATTAAACTCTCTCTAAGGATAAAATTTGTCCTGTCAACAACCTCCTTTGTAGTAAGTCGTTAAACACATAATAAATACTTTGCAGCTGTGTGTTTCTAGACTTCGAATGAAGTTAATTTAGTTTCAAACAATGAATCATAAAGGATAATACATGGATACAAAGTACGGCCGATGGCGCACTATTGTACGGAGTCTAGAGGACTTCTTCTCATCACCGTTGGATGACGGTATGCAAGGCTTGTCTTATATAGCTGGCTTAGAAAGTGCTCTGAAGGCTAACTGAACGGTCGGAAACGCGGATAAAATTAGACGTGCCTAACGTGTTGCGCTGGCGGATAACTAGAATTATTATATCAATGGTGAGTGTAATAGTATAGCATAAGAGATCGAGAATACGTAGTGAAATTAACCTGTTCTAATTAATACTGAGCCTCGACTCAGCGTACATACAGCGATACTTGCTGGAAAATAAATAATAAGAATAATAGGTAAATTAGTAAAATAATAGGAAATCAGTAAAAAAAAAAAGGTTGTTCAGTTATACGATGTCATTCCTCGTTAGCTGATGGAATACGCAGATACTTCTTTATAAGTTTTAGGGAAATAATCATTGTTTGTCCTTAGTCATAAGCCAAAAAATCATACCTTGCCTATAGAATACCCTTCAGGTAATTTTATAATAGATGAGACCATCTCCTGCTTCAGGTTATCGGAATTCTACATGATGATTAGCACTGCTACGGGCTGGTTATGGTTTAATGGTGACAAAATTGAAAATTGAAATGAAGAAAAAGAAGATGGTGACAAAAGCAATACAATATTCTCACAAGTTAGCTTACGGCATAGTAAGTTGGTCACACTAAGGCCGTGAACGGCTAAGGTAACACCTTTGGTACATATATTTCGTTGTTTAACGATGGCAACTGTGAACCCAAGAGTGTTTCCCGTTTCAGCATAAGCTTTGGTTTTTATATGATATCTAGCGCACTCGTTCGTGTATTCACCGGAGTATGACCGGTACGACACCATATATTCAATGGAGTTCCACAATCTATATATATATATAATCTATTCAAGCGTTTAGCTTAACTGTTTTTTTCACCCTGGCTTAAAAGCGGTTGTTAATAGGCGTTCGTTGCATTGACAGTTGGCCTTATTTTGGCGCCCAAAGGAGTCAACTATTTTGATAATTAGCAAAGAGAACACACGAAGCGTGAGTTTTGTCGTGGCAGGTAAACAGGCCATGATACTCACCGGTGCAAGATACTAGAAATGTACCTTGACAAAGGATTCTGGAGAATGCACCACGTGCGTCCAGCCAGGAAAACCTTTATGACTGAGACACATTCGAACATTCATGTGCCTAAGTGTGCCAGGCGTAGGCGGCTTATCGCTTCGATAGCCAAGTCTGCACGTTTTTATTCAAAGCTTTACTGTGGTTCAAACCTGCATCGAGCACAGAATAACACGTAAGAGCTTTTGAGAAGAACCTAAAGGATCATAACTTACCAGACAGTTAGTACGTCAGCGGCTCCGGTCCTAGTTAAAAAAACACCACCGTGGAACATGAAGACGGCAGAAAAACAGAGCCTTTACGAGTATGAACCCAGGATCGAGGGAAAAAGACAAAGACAAAGACGATTGCAGCCTCGCTGGTAGAGTGGAATGAAATTTTTACAAGTAAATTTGAAACAGAAGTTTTGCAGCGATGGCTGCCTGAAGGTAACTTACGCGTAAAAAAGTTCGCATAGCTTCGAGAAATGGGATTGGCCAGTTCGTGGAAGGTTATCTGCGCCATGACAAATGGCTGACAGTTGGAACCAATGATAGCTGCTAACCCGGACCTAAAAGAAGAGTGATACGACTAAGAAAAATAAGACTTTCGTAGGATAAAACTAATACAGGGTATTTGTACATAGATAATGCTGATTTATGGTTGGGTTCACAGGAGATGCGAAGGGGCGCTTTCCGAGTGTGACCCAGGGTACCTTTTGAAGCTGGAAAATCGACAAGTAACTCTGACCAATTAACCCGGCGAGCACCTGCCACTTCCTCCTACCAATTCATAGTACTGGCGAATGATAGTTAGATAGTGTAGTGAAAGATAAGAGAGACATTGAGAATAAATGGGCTGTGATCTCGATAGAAATAGGCCCAACGATGGGCATGAACCGCACACTTGGCGTACATTAAATAGGCCTCGTCTTAGTAATGCCCGCTCGCGTGTAAATAGTACTAGTGAAACCCTACCAAAGGGAAAATTATTACACTGAAGCCGAATGCGGCCACTACACTAAAAGAAACTCGCGTTGCACATTATGGTAGCTGTTATATTAGTATATAGAGCTTTTATACGATGTTACCTTAATCTGGTTTGGTTTAGAGGACTGTTGAAAAATATACGAGATACATTTCGCTATCAACTTTGGGGTGATCCTCATTTAACTGTATGCGACCTCCAGATAGCGTTCCGCGTTCGAGATGCCTTATCGTAGTCGATTTTCCGTGCAGATTATTACCATGAAGAGGTCTGGCTAGAAGCGATTTTATTGAATTTTCATTCAGGCTATGTAAGCCTTCTGTAGAGAGCCGTTACGCATCAAACTCATTTGCTATTTCTCTGTCGTTAAGTTCAAACGAGCATGGAGCCAGGTAGGGCTGTAAATTGACGATTAATCAGCACGACGTACTAATTGGCAGATGCTATTACCCTTATATGTACGATTATATGTATGCGTAACAGAGATAGCTTAGAGAAGGATGCATAATGGTGAATGGGTAGTGCCTGCATCAGTAGAAACAAGCATTCTCGATTAATGGCTAGAACGTGACTCTTAACCAAGCGGAGTCTGGACCGCCCCTACCCTGTTTTACGAGTTGGACGTTTTTATTATCCAGTAAGTTGCCTACCTTCAATTATGGATCTAGAAAATGAAGTTGTCTGCCCGCATTTTGCGTATGTGTAATAAACGCTGGAGGAAACTTCGTAAGGGAAACTTAGTTACTTCAAGTTTCATTCCTCTGTGTAGCGTTCTCGGCCATAGCAGGGCGGTTCGGCACTTAGTGTGGACGAATTTAGATTCATACGTTGACAAAAAAATTCAATTGACAGTAGTGAGATATCTATCTCGCGGTGGTCCTCTTAGTCAAAACAATACCAGGACTGGAATTCGTTGTCTCAAATCCACCCCGCTCATATACAAAACCTGCTCGCGCAGTTAAAAAGAAAGGTTTCCATCTTTTAATGAAAAGTTGTTTCGAGCATGTTATTTTGTATAGACAGCACGTACGGCGCGTCCACTTCAGGTCGATCTCGCATATGGAACAGTGAAGTATCTCGGCATTAATTTTCAGTTCCGTTGAACTTTGAACGACATATCTGTGACAGTAGCTGATTTTACGACGGACGAGACGCTGACAAAGATAGACAGTTCACCAAATATCGCTTTTGTCGGCAACTTCAGTTAATAATGAACTTTCGCAGACAGAACAATTCTCCATGTTGAAGACTCAGTTATTTCAATTGCGCACTTGTTTTACTATAACGGAGGATACTAAATGTAGTTATAAGCCAAGCTGCCTATCTTGTAGGTCTATCCATATTTTTGTATTCAACCTAAACAACACCAGTAAGTCGATAAATAGATCGAAATGTTTGTAGTGTCCACCTATGTTTGCCTTATTTGTACAGCTACTGAGTGTACATGCGCTTTTGTACTAGTGTTAAGCGATCGACTATCAAAATGCTATAAAATGCCGGAAATCTATTGCTAACCCTATTAAAAAACGCGTCTGATGTTTCGCGTTACAATGTAGACCTATCCATTTTTGCACACTATACGTATTCTCTAGCTTTTTTTTTTTTTTTTTTACCAGTTAGTGATAGCCAGAGCTGCTCGAGCTAACGGCAGCCCGACGACGCGTAAATTGTGGTATTTACTCTGGTCAGCATATCGACGTCCCACCGCTACTCCCTGATGTTAAGTTATCTACACGCAGACGCCAGTCGTCCAGCCATCAAAGGCTAAAGGCGTCCGTTCTGTGTAGAAGACCCGCTCCCGTTTGTGCGGGGGCCGCTACTGTTTGTAAGTCGTACGAAAGAGCATTAGAAATCAGCACACTGTATAGATGCTAAAGCGGCGTCGTGAAACAATCATAAGGCAGAACGAATGACTAAACAATATCTAGTATGAATGAAAAAAAGGAATCTAGTCAAAGAACACGAAACAAACAACCGAAATCTGCGAAGCAATCTAATAGCTACTGCGGATGTGTTTCCATCGGTTTTCTGCGTTCGCAATGAAGAGGAAGCCCGGAAAAATTTCATGGTCACTGACTAGTAGGTTGTGATAATCAGTCACAGTAAATGTAATGTAAACGTAAAAACAGTAAATGTAAATATACTCGTAATGTTTCTGAGAAGAGTTAGTGAATCGTTGGGGAACAGAAGCAGGGTGAATGAAACAGAAAAGTGTCTGATCGAGCCAAATCGGAGTCGACCGAACGAACATGACATTGGGCCTTCGACGGGTAGAAATTCGAATAACAATATGGACCCAGATATCTCGCTTTGTCAACACATATAGTAGTGGGTATGTGGGTTAATGTACAGATCCCATCTCACTAGACATGGTGGAATGATCCTTATGAAAAAATGTCAAAACAGCAGCACTAAACAAGGTTTCATTGATGAGTTGACCTAGCAAGTGGCTATCGTATCAATAGGGTGTTTAGCGGGCGGACTAGACGGAAAGACAGCTGGCGAGTGACCATAGAGAGATCTGGCTATGTTATACTATAACTGGATTCACTTATGAAATGTGTACTTATGAATGAATCGTAAAACGATGCGATGTATTGTAGATTAGTAAATAGATAAAAATTTGACTGCTAGTGACGTTGAGGTCAATCGGTCTCGCGCTTACTTTGGCGGTCGTATATAACTGCGCCGCAAATATGGTATGACCTAAACGTAAACCTAAATTGGTCGAAGAGCGGCAACATTTTGAATAAAAGCTGATCGATTTAACTAAAAATATCAGACTGATTGAGAGATTCGAACAAAATAGCATAGTGTCACTGGGAATTTCAATTAAGTGCCGAAGCCTCTCGGCTCCGATGACGTGTAAGGGGCAATCATATCTGCGGTACGGGTGGAACCGATTTTAATAAAATTTGGGTGAATCGCAACTGGAGCTCGAACCTGGAGCCTTAGGCTTATAAGTCCCTTCCAAAACTGAGACAATCAATTTATGTCAGTCTTATCAGAAAGCAATTATAACCCTTCTGCTGGTCAAATGGGCTCTATAGCCCATATCGTTGTTAACCCATTCATGTTTCACAAACACCATCACGAGATTCGGAAGCCTTCGGTTCGTTTAAAAAATATTGCATTCTACAGCAGTGCGCTGCTGAGAAAAAAAAAAGTTGGCCTACAGACCTTTTTTATGCCTGATTCGGACACGTGACAATACACAGTTGGCCTACAGACCTTTTTTATGCCTGATTCGGACACGTGACAATACACAGTTGGCCTACAGACCTTTTTTATGCCTGATTCGGACACGTGACAATACACAGTTGGCCTACAGACCTTTTTTATGCCTGATTCGGACACGTGACAATACACAGTTGGCCTACAGACCTTTTTTATGCCTGATTCGGACACGTGACAATACACAGTTGGCCTACAGACCTTTTTTATGCCTGATTCGGACGCGTGACAATGCCTGATTCGGACGCGTGACAAGACCAAGATACTGAGGCGTGGATATGACATTATGTATTTACGACAAGGACGACATCCTTCCAATGGTCACTGACAGAGCGTGTGTTCACATTCTTAGCGATACCTGAAGATGTCATTTCAAAAAGCTGTCCAAAGACGAAACTTCAACTGAATTACTCAGTTTTCATTATGTAATAAATTGATTTCAATCGTGCGGAAACAGAACATTAGCTCTGAAGCATTTGTTGGCAGTTCGTCCATAGTTTGACACACCTCGTTATCTCACATTGTCGTTAAATATACTGTAAGAGTATTTCAAGATGGCTTAAACACAATCGAAACTAGTTATGAAAGTATGAGAATATTATAAACAAAGGTTATGATGAACAGCTCAACTTCATCGTATCAAATATGAGACGATCCGTGTGTGTATCACGCGCAATATGGTACTGAATACGAGTCTTCTTAAACATGTTCCAACAAATCATTTCAAATGAAACAATTGGTGCCAATGGCGTTACTAACGTGGACGATTTTGATAGTTTTTGATAGAAACAAAGGTACGTTAAATATCATTATAGATTTTACTAATAATAATAATAGTAAATTAGCAATAATTGATAAAATCTATCATTCAACTCGACCTTGAACAACTATCCTATGTCCGCCTATTGAATTCGGGTAATGTAAAAGCAACGAATATCGATGACAACTGAAGCCCTTTGAAATGGCTCTTGAGGCTTGTTTTGATAGCCACGTTGAAGCCGTTGCTCTCACGCTGACCTCTGCTTGTTGTATTTTTATTGTCGTTCGGTTATCGACCCTGTTATATGGGTGTAGGCAAGTGCAACAAAAACAGCTACGCTAGAAGGTTATAAGGCATTGCTAGAGGAAACCCTTGCGCGGTTGCTCGAGGCTGAAGAACGAATAAAAACTGCACCGGAGGCCTCGACAAATGAAGATGTCGACGTCGTTAAGCAGATGTACTACGAACATGAGGTAATATGACGAACACTTCGTTATTATTAGGAAAATTACGGATTGTACTAATAATTGCACGACCCGAACAACGTGAGACGTATTAAATAAGAGCTCAATGTTTATCTTAACCTAGAGTCGTTGAAACACTATAGGGGGTCGAAGCTATGCGGAGTTATGACTAACGCCCTCAGCCTGGCGAGCGTCAACGTATTCTATTGGTTTAACTGAAACTTTTTCTTTTCATTACAGGCTTTTATGCAAGAGGTGCGGCGACTGCAAGAGAGCGCCGTTGACGTCCTTCGACAAGGACGATCAATATTGAAAAATGGCTCAATCCCACTCCAGGATGACGAAGCTCAAAATCTAAACTCAGAGATCTCCTACGTTAATAAGAAGCTGCAGGAATTGCGCGATCATATAACTCAGCGGTATTATTAATTATGAACACCGCCGTCTCATTGCGTTGGTCTGATAGGCGTGGCACTATATAGCCTACACTTTTGACGACATATTTAGATCGGCTGATATGTTCGTATACAGATGATGCCATCTGCTCTACAGTCGTTATAATCCATGTCCTTTTTTTTTACAGACAAACCAAGCTATACGAAGTCCTGATGACGTTGCAGCAGCGACAGCTGACTAAATTGCGCAACTGGCTGACGGAACGTGAAGATGTTTTAAGTACAATTGCTCAGCCTGGTCCGGATTTCGAATCGACAACAAAACAAGTTGACATTCTACAGGAACTGCAGGAAGCTATTGAGCAGCAACAGGAATTGGTTACTTCACTCGGGAACATGATAATTAATGTGGACGATCCTGACTTCACCGACCTCGAGGACCAACTGACGGCTATTGGAGAAAGGTCAGCCTTTAAATCTTTAATATGTTTGAGCAGTGAGGCAGATGTTTGAGGCAGCATAAATAAAGATCATGCTTTTAAATACAATATATTGCGCAACTGCAATAATGGTCAAGATCAAATTAGTTATACATAAATTATTTCAATATTATTCGAATAAATAGTAATAATAGTTTTTCTGATAGTAGTATTCGAAAAAAATGTTGCTATCTTAAGTAATGTTAGGACTTTCTAAATTATAGAACTATATATATTTAAGATAAAAGGAAAAAATATTATAACATAAAAAAGGTAATAAATTACTGGAACAGTGGTGACAGGACAGATGCTGTATGGGCCTTTTTGGGACATCAGATATTGTGAAACAACAGAAATTATACCTTTCAGCTCAAATCATAATATTTGGGGTCCTTATTTGATCATTGTTGATACCCCAGGTACACGATGTTCTGCCAGCTGGTCGAAGAAAATGGAGTGAAGCTTCATCAAATGCACGCAGTACTGCAGTTGATGATTTTCGAGGAAGAGTTTTTCTCGCAATGGTTTCAGGAAAAGGAGGATCTGCTTGCAACGCTTGAAGACCAGGCCAATGCCGAAACAACCGCTGACGACACTATGCTGATTCAGAGCTTGCAGAAAATGACCGAAGCTTTGAACAGTGAAAATACGCGCCTAACACAGCTATGTCGACAACTTCAGCTAACAGCTGAGAAACAAGATAAGGGCTGTCAGGCCCTCATGGAACTTACAAAAAGGTCAGCGGCACTCAATGTGATTAAGCAACGGTTCAAATGAACTTTTAGAATATCCCTTATGCTGGCTACGTTAGACGCCTGCGCTAACGGATGTCTATGGGCTATTGTAGACATGTCCTATTATATTCAGTATTGATATCAATAATGAACTCTATCAAGATAATGCTCAAATGGTTAATATCATTCTACAGCCAAGGATCGTTCTATGCAAGGACTGCTTCTAGCTGACTGATATTTTTCTTTGTCACGTATTAATTCTCGACTTTTTCGGCAGGTGTGATGTAATTGTATGTCGGTGGGACGTCCTGATTGACCGGATGGATGTATTAGCTCGGCAGGTAGCTGGCCGAAACAAAGATAAGAGTAATTTGTGGCTGAAAAAAATGCAGCTTACGCAGCTGCGTAAAGACCAAGCCGGCGGAAAGGATCAGGTACTGACTATTTGTGGATTGTGATAGCTAATTGATTTCTTATTCGCAATGGTAGTGGGACACTTTCGCGTTGTTTTTGCACTTTTCACAAAATCTGACCGAATTTGCGAGATTTTAAAAAAAAAAAAAACAAAAAAGAGACACATTAAAACACTGTGCTTCTTTGCTTCCTAGGCGTTTGGAACTTATTCAATCGTTTACGATAATGAGGAGCATGTTCTGCTTTCGAAACCGCGTGTATTGTATATTATTGTATTGATACGTCTGTTTCAATGTGTGACTACAGATCGACTCGATCCAGGCAAGTAGTAACAAGAAACGCAAACTAGAGCGAGGTGGAGTATCACGAAAAAGCTCATTTTCTGAACTTACCAAAGAAGTATCGCTTGCATTTAACACGCTCAATCGTCTCGAGACGTTGGTGGGAATTACGGGCGAGGGCGGGCGCGTCGGCACGTTTTGGGAGGGCATGAGCGCGGAGGAGCAAATCCGAAAACTCGATGAAGCCGACAAAATCATCAAGAAGACTCGCCTCGAAATTACCGTACAGGATGCAATATGTGCCCTTGATGAGCATCTTAAAGGCAAGGGTAAGCAGTAAACGTCGAAACAGATATTTGTCTTAAACAGAGCTTTACGTTAGTGGTTGAGTAGCTAGAAGGAAGAATACCATATGTTATACGCTCCGACGATCGTCAACAACGTCTATATAGCGTAGTATGCATTTTGTATACGCTCATACAGTTTGACTGTATTTGATTGTGTGTCTTCTGTAACCGCTGGGCTTAACACCTTAAATGCTGCGACATAAAATCAGTATAGCCAATGATGAAGATCATTCATTTCAACGATTTATAATCATGTGACTACAGTTGCCGATGTGAGCGGAGACACGTTGAGACACAAGTCAGCCGAACTCGAACGACGTTGGTTAGCCGTTCAGACATTGGTGCGTTCGCAACGGGAACGAGCGCTTGGGTTTTTGGATATTGAAAATCTCAAAAACGGAATGGATATGTTAGTTAAAGATATCGAATCAAAACGACGTTTTATTCATTCCTGTGAAGAGCTCGTTATCGAGGATGACACTCCGGACTTGTCGAGTAGTCGCGATCAGGTCAACATTACGAAAAAGCTTTGGGAGTGTCAAGTAAGTTCAATGGGATGCACCTATCGTACGATGCTCTTGAAAGTGTAGGATTGGATAAGCTGAATGAGGATTCAAACCCTTAAGGCGAATCTAGTCTTCGGCCTCGAAGAAGAAAGAATGTCAATGATGTAGTCGTATGCACGAAAGACAAACAAGAACGTACAATTCGTTTATGCATTGTATATTCTTCTATTACATAGCGATGCTGAAAACCTAACAACGTAAGAATCATCTAGTTTTTCTCGACCGCAGGCCATATCGAATTTTTCAGCTTTTTCCAAAGTCCGATTTTATCTTAAGCGCTAGCAATGCACCGTAACTATGCATTGTAGTCTATAATAGGGGATAAAACTTAATCTGTGCACGTTTTCGATTTGCTTTCCTAATCCAGCAACGGCTGGCGACAGCGCATAAACAGAAGGAACAAGTGCAACAGTTATCGCAAGATGCGACCGATACCCAAGCAGCTCGGCCACTTTTGGCTGGAAACTCGGTTTTTGCAGAATTCCAGGAGGTTGTGCAGGAGTGGCATGATACGCACCTAGAGATGGAGGAGCTGGAAAGGCAGTTACAGGCCTCGCTACGAGATGGGCCTCCGCCAAAACTGCTGAAGAGTGTCTCTCTACTTGACAAATGGATCGGCAGCATTAACGCTACGTTGTTAGGGGATTCGCTAGCCGTCAAATCGTTAGAACAAATGGAAGAGCAGCTAAAGAACTATATGGTATGCCAGTATAGATCGGAATCTTGAGCTTCAGACAATTGTAAGACAAGCATGATCCAAATTAAGTAACGTAATTATTCTAGCATCAGCGCCAGCTAAGTAACGTTACTATTAAATTATCGTATGCAAACATTATTAATAAACATACATGTTTTCGTCTTGTGATATATTGACTTCTACAGGACTTTCAAGAGCAGGTGAATAAGGAGGAAGGTAACCTTCACGAGTTGAACAACACTGCCGAAGATCTGCTGCGGCTCGAGCATAAACGACCATGGGCGGACTCATTCGAGCGACAGTTAGCCAAAATGAACCAGTGTTGGCATAGCGTGACCAATACACTTTCTGAACGTATTCGAGTGTTTAACCGGCATGTCGACACGTTACGCAGTTTACGTGATGAAATGTGTTCGATAAACTCCTGGATGGACGGAATTGCCGAATTCGTTGAGGATCATGACAAGCGCTGGAGTATGATTGACCTCGATAAGCTTGAAGAGCTGTTGGATCAGACACAAAACCTGCGTTCGGACGTAGCAATTTTGCAACCAAACGTGGATATGGTTAACCACATGGCTGGCGAGATAAGGAAAGTAGCCGAGCCAGCGTTCGCTATTGAGCTTCAGAAAAGCGTCAAGGCTATGAACCAACGATGGGCGAAGATCACAGAGGAAGCGTCATCCAAGGCCTCGGCTCTAAAGGACGCAATCCATACGAACAATTCAATCACGGAAGAACTTCGAAACCTCTACAGATGGATTGAGCTGTTTGAAAAGGTAGGTTTAAGTATAGGCGATGATAATCGCTGATCGCCAAGTTGATCTACTCTATATTCAATTTGCTTTTATTCCCAGCCGATACCTTTGATCGATAGATTGAGATAGATAACCTTTGATAGATTGAAGTTCAACGTGATCGTCTAACGTTAGATATTCATACGCTCTATAGTTCATGTAGTATTGATTTTATAGCTCTGAAAATGGTTTTTACTTCACTTTGCAATCTAGGAAACGTTCCCAACAACGCCTATGGAGCTCGGGGTGGACGTGCAGTCGCGGATAAAGCACTTACAAGCGCAACGTGAAAAAAAGAAAGCTAAAGATTTTGCACTGGAAAAGCTCGAACGGCAGATGACTCAAATGTTAAAGGCTGGCAAACTGGAAGATGTTGAAGATCTGAAGGAGGACCTCGATACGATCAAGGTGACCTGGACAGAATTAGATAGTCGTGTGGACAAAATGGAAGAGGCCTTGAGAGGAGCCTTGCCGAAATTGGCTACATTCAAAAGTGAGTGTGAAAAGTTTTAGCGATTAATTATGAACCCGAAGGTAACTGCCCTGAGTCTGAATGAGAATTGCATAAGTAGACTTCTTCAACTGACTTTATAGACAATTATGTTATAGCGTTACTGCTTTTGCTTATTTTTTTTTTTTTTTTTTTGCTTATGCAACACATAGTATATATAAATATCCATACTACGCAACTCTATATTCATTCTTGTAAATACTATGTTTTAGCATTAATGCGTGAATGAATTAAATTTTGTATAAACATAAACTTTAACGGGGCACGCAATAAAGACAGATTCTTCGTCACGTTCGGTCAGTTTCATCTAAACCTGCTTCTTTTTCCTTGAATTTACCAGATTTGATCGTGATGAAAATCGAGTGGCTCAATAAGCTTGAAAAGAAGCTCAAAAAGCTCCCACAGGCTGCCGTAGATGCGGAGGAGGCTTCAGGGCTACTTGACGTCAGTACAACGCTGTCACTTAAACTCTACTATTAGATTTGCTTTCATTTACATGAAGTGTTTGTTTTATTACTTACAAACTGGCTCATCCGTATTAGACAATGATTTTTTCTCATTTCACATAATTTAACTCTAACTTTTTTCGGATTCATTGTTACTGCAGGAACTAGAGACCTTAATAGAGTCTGCCAAACCTGAGCGAATACGGGAGATTTCACAAATCCGTGATGACCTTCTTGGACTCAACGTGATGACAGAATACGTCCACACCGAATCTGGCCGGATCTTCGAACGAAATCGGGATTTACTGAAGCAAGCTACTGAAGGTATCGAGCTTCTCGAACGAATGATAAAGGAGGCCCAGGACACAGAGGATCGCATTACGATACTGACAAACAGCATAGCCAAGAGCGAGGAAACTCTGAAGAAAGACATTTCTAAGGAAGACATAGAACAGAAGTGGGACGACATGACTAGGGTTAAAGAAGTCATTGATATCCTATTTGCGCGAGCGAAGGAGTACGCGAACGATGGCCGATCCGAGGCAGCGAAAAGGATCTCAGAACGTGTCGAGGTGTTTGCGAAGCGACACGCGGCTGTAGTGACAAAACTTCGTGCGAATCTAATTCCCGCCGATTTCGAAGAAAAGCTTGCTAACGTGGAAGCTTCGCTGACAGCTGTCGAAACAACATCTAAAGAAATTGAGCTAACAACCCATGAGTCCGAACTAATTGAGCAGCAACTTAAGAAATGTATGGATCTCTATGGAGTGCTAAGCGCGATGAAACCCGACATGGAGATCCTAATAAGAAATGGTCGAAACTACTCTGTTTATTGCAAGGATCCAGCTGATCTTAACCGAAGGCTCGATGTCATCAAGGAACGTTATAACGTCCTTGGTGATAATGTGCCTGCAACCAAAGTTATGATGGAAGAGGCTCTTGACTATTCGAGGGAGGTGGAGGGACTCTATAATGCTTTGGCTCCGTGGCTAGAACAAGTTCGAATGGATTACTTCGAACCGGAATATGTGCAGGCAGGTTTAAGCTCGAAAACTAAAAATAGATACGTCCAATATACCTTCAACTAAGTCCACTGAAATTGCTTGTACAGTTTCCACTGATTATACTATGTATATTATTCTACTGAATATTTTAGAATTTTATCTTACAACTATACGTTACACTTCCATTTACAGAAAATCCAGGGTGAATTGGATCAACGGCGTCAGTTATTCCACCAGTTATTTGAACGGTTCGACAAACTGAACGCCTTATCAACAAAGGACCTTGCTTTGTTGAAGAAGTCTATTGAGCCTCTAAAGGAATGCTTTTTTGAAGCGGAGCATTTATTCGCGGTCGAGCGGCGTACTGAGGTGCGGCTAAAGTTAGATAGCTTTAATGGCAACTGCATACGAATCAAAACTTGGCTTGAGGGGGCCGAACTTTATTTCGAGGCCAAGGAGGAGTACACATCGTCACCGGCTGGACAACGCCGCCTTCACGGTCTATACAACGAAATGCACGAATTGAACGAAGTGGTCAAGAAACTCCGTGAAGTGGCCATTGAATTAATGAAGGCGGATGACAAATACACACTGCTTATTCAACCGCAGCTAACGAAACTGAGTGAACGTTGGAATTCAATGGTTGACCGATTGAGGGAAAGGGCTGGTGCAGGTCGAGAAGATATCCTTGTCGAGCTCAAAGCGTTCCTGGAACGAATGGAGGCCGTGGAACAGCGCGTCAATGACATGTGCCTGATTCAGAGTGACGACAACGTCCTGGAAGAATGTGACTCTCTCGCTAGGGTTAGTATACAATCTTTGATTGCTTCGTCATAGCAGTAGTGTGACATTCTGATAAATATTTCTAATAAGTAGGATCCATTTTTATGGTGTTCACACTAAGCGACGAAAGCTAATCGTAGCTTGAGGAATTAGTGTGCCTAGCAAAATAAATATTCCGCGAACGTTCTATTCTATGAGATATACATAAACGGCTGTATTTTCCTTTTGCACTGGCAACGCCGGCTCCCATGACCATACACACTAGTAATTAAAGCAATTATATTAGTAAATAAAAATCTTTAATTTCTTTTCAATAAACTAAATGCCGAAGAGGCTGTTTAACATACATTTTAAAAGGCTTCTGCTATGCTATTATGGTTTCGTCTGTCGCAGAACCTGAGCGCAGAGACTGTCGTAATGGATGCCGCTGCAGGCGAGTTGGACAAGAAAATCGCATTGAGCGGGCTGTTTACGGTCGAATGGTCTCAGGCTCGCGAGCGATGGCTTCGATGTCGGAAAATGATGGAATCCACTCAAAGGAGAGCTGAGGATGCTAGGGAAAAATGGCAAAGTTTCGAAACTGATATCACAGATAAGCGCGAAGCTGTGAAGAAGCTGCTAGAACAGCTAGTTCAGGCGTTGGACAACGCGAAGAACGGCGTTAAGGACGTAAGTAATAAGATTTGCAGTATGTTGTTCTCGATAGAAAAAAAAATAGAGTATTTGTTTGAACATAGTTTTCCTTAAAGCGTTTCGTTTCAATGAAAAATCATATTATAGTGAACAGAAGAGAAAAATATATAGCCAATTTAAGGAGGAACTTGGATAATAGAACTTGAATAAAAATCATATTTTCAGACTTCCGGTTAGCTTTGTATGTTCTAATTAGTTATTAAAAGCTCTTGTTCCTTATGTAGAACTCGCTTGAGAGTGCAGCACGCGTCGGGGATGAAGTCAACTTGGTGAAGAAGAAAGCGCAGGACCTTCAGGACCTCGGAATACCTTCAAACGCGATCCGGAACAAACTTGGCAATCTTACTCTCATATGGAATAAAGCACAACTACAAATTGCTGAACTTAAAAACATTCGCCGTATTTCAAGTTCTCATGGGGATGTATATCCATCTCGGGAGGACGAAGCAGGCCGCATTAAGTACTCGACACCGCAGAGGCTCGATAGCGCTTATAGTTCGCCTACGTCTAGCCTGGCTGAATACCATGAGAAGGTAAATAATCTGCGCGACGTGTTATCACATTTACAGAGGATGTTAGCTGACGAAAATTTCACGGAGTTCGGATTAGCCCAGCAGGAATTACTTCAGGTAAGCGTTAATTTTTTTTGGTCTTCTGTTGAAAAGTAAAAGATATAGAATATACAACTAACTCATTATCGAATTAAACAGTCTAGAGGAAGATTGTTTGTGAGGAAGATGGCCGAATGTTTTTGAAATTCTCATACATGAACATTGTGTAAGATGTGACACATCATAATTACTAAGGTGCATTTCAAAAAAATATGTATGCGTTAGATTGCGATGCCTAATTGACTGACGAATGTTGTAGTCAGCTGGTCCGTCACGGAAGTAATGCTTCTCTGCGTTGTTACAAAATCCGGTTGTCAGTGTTCGCGTTTTATTTGGGGCCTTGGTTAACTTAAGTCTCATTTCTGTTTTCATAGCACACGAACTTCAAAACAGTATTTGCCTTCTGACATATCGTTATAATTTCAACCATGCTGGCTGCGTTTTTCACAGACGATCAAAGAGTCCATCGCCTCGCTAAAAGTTCCGATTGACAATACAAAAATGGAGCATAAAACAGTCTATGCAGCTAATGATGATGAGGCTCATAAGTTGACGTCTCTCGTTGAGGGCCTATTAGAACAATGGACTTCTTTGAAAAGTTCTTTCGCCACAGTCAACGAACGGTGGCTCAAGAACAAAGAGACATGGTTACGATTTAACTCGAAATACAAAAAGTTCACCCATTGGCTGGACACAATGGAAGCTAATATGAAGGAGTCGACTGAGAAAGGCCGTCTGCAGTTGTCGCTGCTAAAAAAAAAGATGCCGGTGAGTGATAAGTAAATGGGACACGTTGGGGTCTTAGCAGACTAGTAGATAATCTTTTTGTGTATAACTCTTGCAAATAGAATGTGCATGATTGGTATGCTCATAAGAACGCAGCAGCTCAATGACATATCATAATATAGTAGTTTCACTTTCTTTAACTTTACGTAACAATAAAAGCGAACTTAAATTCTATTTTAGTTCTCATTAAGCTTAAGTATAATCTTTACTTTGGTCGAGTTCGTATGATCCTACGACAACGATCATTTATGATTGCATTTTGTACGTTACACAGGTTGATTAGTTGCAAGCATTCAATGGAAAGCAACGCACGCTATCTGCTGTGTCCTATTTGACAAATGTTTGCTTCAAGAACGAATCGGTGGGTAGGGGATTAGCGTATCCCCATGAAGAGTGTGGTGTCGTACCAGACGCCATTTGTGTACGAATGTAGAAACTCGCCGTTTCCAGCCTATCCGAATGGATAGGTTTGTTAAACGAATGCGCGCCAAAGAAATATAACAAACGTAACATTTTAAAGTGTCTCGAAAAATAATCAAGTGTTGGTTGCATCATACTTGGTGCACTGTGGCTTGCACTCAACAAAATAAATAGAGAATTTCTTGCCGAAATTAGCTTGGCAATGTCGTTTTTTGCCCCAAGGGCATTTTGAGCCTGATTCGTTTTATTGAGCTCTTCTGTCGTTCTTGCAACTTGTCCATTTGTTTGAGATAGTCAATGTGGACTCTTATTGTTCGTATATCACGTCTGCTACCTTTGTTTATATTTCTCGTTTTGCAGGACTACGAATCGCAGGCTGCGGAGCATCTTCCTGTCTACGACCGGACCAAACACCTCGGTCGGACGCTCCTTACCCAGTGTGGACCCGTGGACGTATCTGACCTCGCTTCGAAACTCGATCTGATCGAAAAGCGGTGGAAAAGCCTTCTTCTCGAACTACAAAAGAGTAAAACTTATGAAAAGCGACCAAAGAGCGGTGAACAACTCCGAGAGGACATGCTTCAACTCCGCGCGTGGTTCATGGAGGCCGAAACTTTACTGACGATCAGCCCACCGCCACAGGATTTGGCGGAAGGATTTGAAAAGGCAAGAAAGTTAAACAGGTAGTGCCTGCTCGTAGCAGTAGTTCTTACGAACGGCCTAACATCCTTCAGGGCCATATATCGTTACGCCCATTAAATGCTGATGCCGACCAGGGCTGAAAGATCGATTCTGTTATGGTTGCACGGTTTCCACGATAAGATTTTCATTAATAGTAAATTACTAATACTGAATAAGTAAGAGTTTAAATTATAGGCTGCGTCCGTCTCTGTCACAGCAAACCTGATCAAATTGTGGCAAACTAATTCATGTGAAGAGCAAGTTACGTATCTATCTACATGATGATATCGAACAGTTTACAGCATTAAACAAACATATGGCTTTTGTTACGTTCTAGCTAGAAAATGTCAAGCGATGCGAGGCGGAGATGGCTTCGAAACGCACGTGTTTCTTCAGTGTTCTGCTTAGCTCCGCGCCACAGAGAATCGACATTGACTCGCTTGGTGATAAATTCTCGAACCTTTGTCAACAACTGACCGATTTCAGGTTTGGTCATTAGTTACTTTATAGAATAGATATTATCTAAATGATGACTGTTGGTCGTCTTGCTTCTTTGTTTCCGGTTCACAAAATGTCAGTCTGCTATTACTATTGAGCGTAATGCACGAATGCACACCAACCGTCTTCTCCAGCTTTCACGCTGAACAAATTCTGGCTCTGGAAAGCATTGTTGTGAACGCTACCTATTAAGATCAAATAGATAATAATTTTACGTAGAAATTAAACGTAAACGTATTGATAATAGACTTAGGTAGGAGTGTAGAAAAAAACAGCGAAAGAAAGGTATACGTTTTCTCCCTATGGTAGAAGTGATGTGTTATTGTCTTTTTTGTCAAAATATCGAAAACGTACGTTAGTCCAGTCAGTGTTCCCGTTACAATTTAACAACTGACATTGATCAAGGGCAAAAAAATGGAAGGGGCGTTTTACGACTTCCATACTAAATATATATACATATATCCACATGTATCATGTGGAAATCCTATAGATCTCATCATGTATATATATATATTATCACGCTATGTATACAATATTATATGACGTTTAAGAGTTTTTACATGGTTTTCACAAATTATTGTTATTACCACGTCGACGGCATACGAATACGGACCATTATGTTCGACCAGCCTTCGCGATATTGTAGAGGTACCTTTTATAAGAATCGTAATGAGCATCGTCACACATACGTTCACAAATAGAATTTTATACCATTATAGGGTTTTAGCTTCGTTTTTCATCGTGTAACTTCAGCAATAAAAGGAGACTGCGAAGAAATCGAAATTGTACCATTCTTACTTTGAAAAAAATACCAACATCCGTTAAATGAAACATTGAGATCTCATCTGTGGCTATAATAAAGTTACGTCCCTTTGTCTTTGCCTAGCTCAGATATGCTATATAAATGCAACGTCTTCTTTCCCTCTGATCTGATTTCTAAGTGCCTCAAAGTGTACATCCTGATTGTCACTCAGTACCAATTATATTACCAGTACCTGTTTTTTCTAAAATTTTTTTTTCATATAATAACAATGCACATGAACGTAATTGTAAGATCTGCCGACACATGCAGTACCGTTGCCTCATTTAAGGTTCAGAGCATCTTGTCATTCTTAGCGTTCTTCTTTATGCTACATACTGTTCCTTTATAGGGAGAAGCTGGAAGATTACTTACGCCGGCTCGAACAATTAATGAACGATGTCCATGCCGAAGAGCGGCGCTTGGATGAATCACTGCTCGATGCCGAACGGTTCGTAGCTGGGCGGCTCCTGTTAAGGTCAAGTTCGTTCATCTGCAGGGATTCACCAAGACGTGGCCGGCAGGATTCGACCCGGAGGTCGTTGCGTTCTACGGCGCTATCTGCTGTTGGCATGCCGCTGCGTTTGCAACGAACATCGCAGACGCCACTGACATCAACGCCAGCGGGTTCGAGGGCGTCGGCGGAGTATGAGCGGGACTCGTCGAGTTCTCTGACGAAGGCATCCGAGACGTCCACGCAGACCGGGACCGAGACGCTGATCGGGTCCGAAATCGAAATGAAGCTGAACGAGCATGTGATGTTGGAACATTCTCGTATGATGCGCAACCTTCAGCGTAGGGTCCAGCAGCTGGAGAAGGTAGGTGAACTCAGATGAGATTACAGTTAGTAAATTTAGTCAGCTTTCTTGGGGTCTAATGTGATATGTACACATTATTAATTGCTACTTCATTGCAATTTCCAGATGTACAACTTTTACAAGTTAGAAAAAAGATTTCGATGTCAAACAGATACTTGACCATCGTTACTGAGTCTCTATAAGTAACCAGCAGCAGTTACCGATTGGTAATACAACAACCGATTGGTAACAAGTCCTAGTTGTTGGTTTTCAGAAAAAGTATGCATATGTAAATCTAAATGTGTAGTTGAAGCTAGAAATGGAAGAAAGATGCGAGTCACGTTTTACGCTCGCTCACTAAACGTAGGCTTTCCTCTGTTTTCATCACTAATACATTAGCTGTATCCTAGCTAGCAGTAAGCCTACTCTACTTACACCTATATAGGTTCCTGTAACCTACAGCAAAGGGGCCTGAAGCACCAACCGTATCATATAGTCATAGTTCTATAATGTAGAATAATTAATTTATCATCTCGGTGTTGCTGGATTCGCTGCTGCTGTTACTACTGCCAATTCACTTGGACACGCCGTCTACTCAACATTTTGGCGGGGTGCACGTCACGCTGCCCGTACTGCCCTGACTGTTTTGATGTTTTGACGTCTCTTTGCTACTGTTGCCAAACGGCTTCCTAGGTGTTCCCGTTGCTGCCGGGTTGCAAGACTGACTTCGAGCGTTGCGTCGCGTCGTGGCAGAGATTGTGTGCCGTCGCTGCCAGGTGTGGCCCTCCGCTCGCCCTGCTCGTCGCTCAACAGACCTACCCCCGCCGAGACCACCCCGGTAAGAATTGTCTGAAATGATTTGACCACCAAAGAGCAAGATACTATATAGGCCTTTGCTGGTGCGTGAATACCGTTCGTGTGTTTATTGACGAGGTGCACACGAGCTTGTAAGTGGAAAATGGATGCGTACACTTATGTGGAAGAGAAGGGTTGGGTGATCTCGAATTTTGCATATAGTGGGTAGGGTTTTCGAGTGGAATAAAATGGGTAGCATTGCGTTGATTACGACTTCAGAAGATACTTGTAACGGTGGACATTGTTCATCATGGTTCGAGTGAATTATAAGTTGCAATAATACAATAATGATAAAACCGTATTTTTTAAAAATAAAATCAAGCGCCGAGAGGGAAACAACAAGTCAAACATAAATGCAAGCATTTGAAGCAGTAAACATTATACAGTATGTGAACGCAGGCATTGCAGAACTATAGTGTAGTATATTCGTGAAGACCTAACACTCTTTCATTGGATTCATAGCTATGATGACGCTAAGGCTATCATCAGATTGGCGCGTTAGGTATGATATACTAAACTTTCCATTTCCGAAATCTGGACGAAATCGAACAACTTGGTGTAGCTTTGATGGATTACCCTTTGGCTGAAAGAAGTTGAGTCAGACTATGCGATAGACATTGGAGATCTCATCGGACATTAGCGATTTCATTGTATTACATGAGTGATAAGATAAGGCAACTTATTTTAAGAATACGTAGGTGTATCGAAGATTCGTCCCTTGAACCAACTATCATCTTTCTATGAGAACCATTTAACCGGCAACCGTTTTTTACCAATCAAATATTTTACCAAATTCTTTTCTGCTCCATTCTTTTCCAATCGCCACACGGCGGACCCAAATGATTTCCGGATGTGCCCAGCGGTCAACGTGCGTCACGTCATCTATGCATGTCTGCATCAGTTTCTCGGCAGTAAGGCTCCGTCGAATAACTCGTGGATACTTTACTGCGATGGTTGCAGCTATTAGAAAAAAATTGCCGCGATAGCAGTCGCAATGCTTGAAATTAGTACACCTGCTAACCTTTTAATTTTGAGCGGCAAAAAGGACGCCTTAAAAGGCCACGTATTTTTGTGTATCAGTTTCAAGAGACGGCTGGAGCCTCCCAATACTTTAGGCTGCCACCTAGATTAGCAGTTGCGTACTGATTCACGCAGTGGACAACTCCCGGAGAGGAACTTTCATATAGGGGCGATACTTCAGCAAGATGCCATTTGTTACGACAGAAAAAAATGTTTGATTTTTATTATTGTTTTTCTTTATTTCGTGTGACGATGGCGACAAGCCATGGGCGTCTACTCATTTCTATTTTTAAATTGAAATTAAATAGGTTACTCCACTGAGATGTCAAGAGATACGCTGGTAGATGATAAAAGATTTATACACGGCTAGCACAAAACAAAACCATGTAGCTCCTGGAGATCATATGCATCGCAATTAACTGTAGATCCGCCAGTATGCAAGTTTATTGTCTGTCCGTAGCGCAACAGTACCTACAACGTCGGCCATATTTAAGAACCATGAAAAGCATTTACCTGTAGAGGTTTGATACGAAACAGCAACGTGCATCTAGACAACACTCTCGCGTCAAATGGATCTATGTTTTACCATGAGATTCTAATTCCATTATTGTGGCTTGGCTGAAATTTTGATTTTACACGACTGATATCTCTTATCTGAACACTCTACATTCGTGAAGAACATGTCTAACCTCAAGTGTAAGATAATAAGTCACAGCTGTACAAATAAAGCGAAACGAAAAAGAAAAAAAAAAGAAATATCAATGTGCGTACAGGTCGCAGAACCAAAACACCGGTGACACAAAATCGTAGCGCAACTACCTAAATGTACCTAGGTGCCTGAACATCGTATACTTCGCCCGGTTCCTAACAATAAGCCAGTCGTTAAAAATCGAAACAAATAGGAAATATAAGGAAATGCAATTAACAGATAGAGGTACTCACTTCGACAAGACCTACGCGTTTTCATTACGATATATACAAGGTACGATTACGGTATAAGTTATGCGAACGAATAAGTAGTAGAATCATGCACTACTCATATGGTCGTAGGTATACTGGCTTATGTTTATGGTGCGAGAATATAGAATGACATATTTAATATTTGTTTCTTCTTTTTTCCTGGTGTTATTTTTCTTTCCGCTTTCATGTTTTTATGGGCGTGGACTGGGCGGGCTGAAACAACTTTGCTGATTATCACGCAGGTGCTGGTGACGTACTTCCACAGATTGAGGGTAGCATGGGTCTGGCTGAACTTTCCGATGAACTCGGCGAACTGGAGACGTGGGTGGGGGCCCAGCACAAAAAGATACTCGAGATCGTTGTCGACTTTGGTGTTGATGATAGTGTCAAAGAGGCCCTGCAAGCCTACAAGGTTAGTGCGTATATATTACGCAGATTGCGTTAAGTTGCGTATTTATTATTTAAAAATAAAATATTTAGTCGGTGTTCGATGGGTATTTTCTATGCATCCATTTACTTCACTGAGTCTAAGACACAGATGTATAAGTCTTTGAAAAAACTAAGAGATACATCAGAAAATTTAAGAAAAATTAGAAAAGACCTGCCTAATTTGAAAAACCGTTGTAAGGTAATGGTTAGCTATCTTTATATATCAATTGAATTTCCATAGCAAGGTATAAATAGTTATATTTTGTCAGCAAGCTTAATAATATGTTATATTTACGGAATTTTGGTTGATTGAGTGATTGAAAAGGTTGAGAGCAATGAATTAGATGTGGGACAAGGTATTTTAGATTAGAGCCTTAATTTTTCAAGTCCTTTTCTTACCTTTTTGATCTTATTCATAATGTGATGGGAGAAAAAATTGTCGACCTCTATTAAAAGGTATAAGGAAAGTAGACTATAAAATCTGCAGTGAACTGCTGGTTAGTGCATGCCGACCCAAACTGTCGGGTTTATTGCCGTTTGGGCCGAAAATGATGAATTGGAATAAATACTTCTGAGATTAGGGTAGGTGTCGTTCCCGAATTAATTCTATAACAGAAGATAGAACTCGGAGCCCACTGTAGCTCTGTGACCTGGCGTCTTGACTATACCCCGTTGTTTAGTGACCTTGTGAACATACGGAATATCAAATATATTCTTTCAGATTTATTAAAATCTTATTGAAATAGTGTAGCTATGCCAGACGATAAAAGACCCATAACTAGGCATAGTCCGAGGTTTTTCTTCGACAGACATGCCTCTTTTTAAATACAGTCTATGACGTGAAGTCCAGGCAGTGGGTCACTTTTCTACGTTTTTACTGTCAAAAGGTTACATATTTCTCTGCCTACTCGCTACATAAGCTTATAATACTTATGTCAGAACAAATGTAATAATCTGTTAACGTAATGCAACAAAAACTTGTCTTTACGAGGCTGTTTGCTCGGCTGGCAGGTTTTGATCCAATAAGTAATAAAAAGACTAATACATAGAGTTATATTATTCCTTTTTCTTTTTGAAAAGAAGCTCGTATAGGCGACAATATTTTATAGCCGCACGGTGACTTCCATATAATAGATATAGTGCTACATATTTATATAATAACTGGTTCTGATACGTGCCGTTTGTCCCCATCAAACATCGTGCCATCAAAACATCCCATCAAAACATCGTGCCTTATTTTTGGTGAGACACGCACGCCACTAGAAATATACGGTAGTGTTTTTTCTATCGATCACCGTCCGAGCCAGCTCTGCTGTTCTCGTCGCAGGCGTGTCTTTGAACAGAAGCTGATAAAGCGAGGTTGCCGGCGTTTTGAACGCCGTCTACTTGTGGCGTTCCAAGCAAAGCTTTCTAGGGAAATTCTAGACAAAGTCTTCGCGAATTCGTGACACGCGTTAACAGCTACGTACACTGCAGGAATAAAGCAACACACGGCGATAACGAAGCTTTAGATGACGCTCACAACCAGACTGGTTGAGATCCAGCGACTTCCCTAAGGCTACCTAGTCATGGGTGGACGAATTTTTTCTACATAGCGTCTGCGGAAGGGATATATCTATGTATCGCTGGTTCAAACCGCGCGCTGAAGCTCGGCAGAAAAAGCAGCTTCTAATCTGTAAAGTGTCAATAGGACGATTGAATCGCAATCTATTTCTTTTGTTTCTTTTTTTTTTTTAAGTATACGAAAGCGTATCGTAGTTTTCGCTGAGGTTTCACCATAAAAGTTTGAGAAGAGCCATATGGTCAACTTCATGAACCCCCTTCCGCTTGCGGGTAAGATATAGACATGCGTTAGCCTGAAATTCGAATTCGTTTTCACAGGGAACTACTCGCGGAAGTTTGAACTTAGTCTTACTTATCTCAGTCATCTCACTTAGTATGTTAAGTATCGATAGATATATGAAATTTGTTTTCAACGTTCGGGAAAAAACACAACGTCCGTTATATTGCTGACGAGTAACTTGTCCGTTCATCTTCTCGATTTCCATGCGCGGAAAACAGCGCAGTCCTTTATAATTCTCAAATTGGGTTCACTATTAGATTCAGATCCTACATACCTGTGTGCTAAAATATTTGTCGTCCTCTGCTATGGGAAGTTTCAATTCCCAAGTTCTGTGATCTCGTCCAGAGAATTAGTGCCATGTCAACCTATTGCTTGCTAACGATCCATTTCGACGGATGGATGAATTTTGAGTAGATTTAATAAAGCGGCTGAAATAGAATAGGCGGACTTTAAGTTGGGTCAACAAACTTCGAAAAAGATCAGCCGACAAATATGCCACGGTTCGAAGAGCTAATAATCCCTTTTGGCAGCTAGTACAATTTCGAGTAAAATGGCATATGCATTAATTTGCCACATTTGCCCGTTTGTGCACCGTCTGCTAAAAGCTATCTTGTCAATGCTACTTCAGGCAAAATATCTTAAGAGGAGTAGTATCGAGATGACGGAAACGCATGGACAGCTACCGTGAAGGTGCTAAGCCGAGTTGAACGGGTAAAAAGTACGTTGTAACCTTAGTTGACATAGCCGTGCGGATCCCTCAACCTATTTTCCACGGTAGGACTAAACTATATTAGTTCGACGTTCTATGCGTGTAAACTGAACATCGTCGACACTGGAACCTCGTGATGATCATTTGTGATGTAGATGATCAGTTTGTATGAAGCTCTCCTGTAGGCATATTGCTTTTGAGAGGCAACGCTTCCTTATGTTGAGTGCCAATTCTGCAACACTGCATCCACCAGAGCGGGTTTGTGTTTCATCCTCCATTACCAGCGTTCACCATTGTTACCTCGTTAGCTGTGCAAAGTCAATCGTCCTCTATAGCGGCGACTAAGCTACAGAAGACCATTAATGCAATACCAATGCGACCGAAAGCTTTTTAGGAGTCGGACACCTAGACAAACTTGTTGTCGTCATAGGTTTCTATTACTGCAGAAGTTATCGATTTTTCAAGCCAATAGAAAACGCTGAAGAAACACTTAAAACACTGTGTAGAAGTAGCAATACACCCTGTCGATCATTATAATAGTGTCAGAGTAAGATTGAGAAGAAGATATTTCATGTCAGACTCGAGTCATTATACGAATACGGTTCGGTATCTTCTGTTCCATGATAATTTCCTGCTGTTATTAGTATTGCTAGTTTCTCAGCGATACAAAACCCTCACAACGAAGAAACTAACCGTGTCGTAACGGGAACGTAACTTGTTTCATTGCGGTATGGACGGTCCCGAAAGCACTCGCTGCTGCTATTTGTTCATGTTCGCCGTCTGTGCTCAAGAAACGGAAAGCTTAGAGCCAATAGCTGCTACAGTACCTGTTTCTATTGCAAATTTGCGAACACCCATTAGGCCCACTTTTGTAGCTGCCAACTTAGCATCTCTAATCTTCACCTACAATTGTTAGGTTCCAGAGATTATCTTCATCTCTTATGTTCTGGCACGCTGCACGTTACGCTACGACAATAAGGTTCTGTTCTATGTTTGAAATTAAAACTCGTCTGAAACAGGCAGAATAGAACTCCTGTGAGCGAGTGCCTTTTTAAAAGCAAGATCATTTACCAATAAGAGATGATTATCTAATGTAATATAAAACGTGTAACATGTGTTTTAATATTAATGATCAGTTCGCGCAGGTGGAATTTTCTGTCTACGACACTTTGTTTATCATAGATACGATTAGTAAAATGGGTTCGGTTTTGAAAGCGAGCTAAATGCGGATTCTAAGAACGAACGACTAACAATAGCTGAAGGCCCAGCAGCTGTTATTTTAGTCAGACGGGACCGGCTAACTCGGTGTCTTGCCAAGTATGTCTGGCTGACTGGATCATCCTGATACTTTCGTAGTGATTACGCCCAATCGAAAGTCTCGGGCTGCTTCATTGAAACTGTGAGCTTGTCCTAGAAATAAAAAATATTCGTAGATCGCCATTAATATCAGTACGCATGGATGATATAGAACAACAAGTTGCCTCAATATGATGATATGTAAGGACGATATGTCAAAACATACAATTTTTAGTTTTAAATATTGCGATACCTTTATCATATCGAGGCAACTTGTTGTTCTATACCATCCACGCGTACTGATATTAATGGCGATCTACGAATATTTTATACATATATATATATATATATATATATATATATTTCTTTTTTCCAGTGCTGACTGAATTCTCACTAAAAACATCCAGTCTGCCTTTGGTTGCGCTTCCTTTAATTTCGTTTTCAGGTTAGCTTCGTATTGTTGCAACTTGTTCCAACGACTAACTATTCTATTGAGTTTACAGACGACATCTTCTTCATCATTTCAAAGCAGCAACAGTATTACTCCGTTGACACCGAGTCGTATTTTTTTTACGCGTACAATCATGTGAATTTTTCCCGTGCGCACTTCTCCTTCTTCTCGATGTGATTTGCGAAATCCTCAGCGGTCGTCGAATTACATCAATGAGTCATCAATTTGATCGTCTCCTATTGCCCTTTTCACCAACTATGTACCTTTTTTGCTCTAGTCAGTCTGCCCTTTCTATCGCACGAATTTTTATAGCCACTGGGTAAAGCGAAACCGGTACGTCGGCGGGGTATTTGAACAAAAGAACAGGAGACCGCGCACCTATCATTAGTGAGGAGTTGACTGCAGCGTTGTTAGTATGACAGACGAAATGGCGCACTCTGGCGATCTAATCGACTTCGTTTGGATTCCTTTTCATGAAGAATAGAAAGTAAGAAATTTCGCTACGTAACGAAATTGAGAAGCTGTAAAGTAGTCAATGCGATACGAGTATTTGGGCGACACATTTGGCCATTATGGTTTACTGTTTGGTATTTGATGGCTAGAAGTAAGCCCGTTTTTTGAGCTAAAGACAGGATGGCAACCTGCTTCAGCATTACACGCATTTCCTGGCTTGGCGATAGACCTATTAGAAAGGAAAACATTAAGCTGGCCCAACACAATATACCTAGCACATACACTTGAAGTTTTCGTAGCATCAGAAAAGTTATTGCAACAAATGAGTAAACAAGTCAAAACATAAGGTGGCGTTTCCTTCTCAGGATAAATAAATATGCATTTCTGAAAAGATAATACTGAACGAGTCAAGGAGCTGGGTGGATTCGGGGGTACCATCGCCGTAAAAACAAAAAGAAGCATATTTTTCCATTCTAAACCGCTGTTTAACATTAATATCAATAAGAATCACATTGCATCCGCTGCAAGTAAATTGTTAAGCATAGTGGCCACGATGCCTTGCCCTAGCCAGCGCAATCAAGTTGAAGTTATTAGGAATCTAATATTTTGAACCCATGATTGATCAGGAGTATTGAAAAAAAAAACATTATACTATATGAAATTATCAAGTATCGTTAGTTTTGGTCATGTATTGTTCAGGCTAAATTAATAACAATTTATTTGAGTTTATTTTCGAAAAGTTGACCTTTACACTCTTCAAATTTCTTAGTTTTTTCATTACCCTTTAAGCTAGTTTCTCGGAACGAGATGAACAAAATGATCGAGACGGAACATAAACGGCTTTTTCTTTCTATTTCTTATCTTATTTATTGTAGGACAATCCGAGGGGTCTTTTTTTCTAGCATTTTATATACAATAAGTGAGCCTATATTAAGGTGTTTGGCCTAGACGCATAGTTCTGTCACTGGTTATTTTTTTATATTGTTTTACGAGCCAGGCGGTGCGGCCATTGGAAAACTAAAATAAGTTCTCTTGTGCAACTTTTTAAAAAGGCTCTGCTTGACAGAAAAATATGGCGATTTTTACTAAGGGCTAAAATAGATGTTTGCCCACTATGTCAACTGTAACGAGTAGTCTTGGAAGTGCCGTGTCTTTTCTAATTCCACAGCCTTTCTAACGTCTTGGGCAAAGACATGCATGATTTTTAAGCAGACGTGAGACTAGCGCCTATCCAGTGTGCCTTTTCAAATCCAATAATATATTTAAACTCTAAAGGTACGTACACACTCTTTCGTATTTCTGTGATCATCTCACCGACGCGCGCTGTAGCTAATGCTACTTCAAAAGAGAAATTTGATTTAGGGATGTCGTACATCTCTAACTAAAGGGGTGCAGAAATAATCGCTTACAACTGTTAGCCCTTTGCTGGTACGCTGAGAAAATGGAGAGAGACCCTAGCACCTGCTAGTCGTCAGCCTTTATCCGACTAGGAGTGAGGCCTAATGACCGTGGAGTGATTTCTTCCCGTTACGTGATCGTGTCGTGAGTGTTCGGGTCGTAACTGACTGTGCGCAGCCTAAAGATTTTAAGGGGACGTCTAAACCAAAAGCTTCCCCCTTAGCTTCCCCATAAAAAAAAATCCCCCTAGCTTTAATAGGCATACATACCGCTATTTATGGTTGTTACAACGATGAAATATGAAATAAAAAGCAAAGATGCCGCCGGAAAACTTAACTTCGCACTGTAGTCCTAAGTTTCCACTAGTTCCTGACAAGGGTACTACAATGCATATTTTTGGTAGAATTTAGGCAAAAATATCATACAGCTATCTTAGCCTTTTCTCAAAAATAATTTTATGCTAATTAATGATTATGTAGGAAACATGAAAAAGATTGTGGAGCGATCCTCTCAGGGCGAAAATATTATGAAGCTTACCGTGTTCTGCGAGGAGTGTACACACCTAAAATGAATGCGTGAAGCTTACGTGAATCCGATGCTCCCCAAATTTACTGTTCGCCATAGTATCTATTTCATCGTATTAATTGTTTGGTAAAACCCATTAATGCGCAAAAAAACTTCGGAAGATTTACGTGTTCCGGTCTTGAGGTTTTAAGGAATCAGGCTTTTAGCGAATGATTTATGTCATAAGCAGCCAGAACCTATAAGCACCCACACAGGATGAATGAAAAGGACGTGTCTTGCTATCATCCTGCTAAGTCAGATGCGTGAGCCGATAGCGATAGCAGCAGAAAAAGAAGACACGACAGAATTGGGCCGCTGTGGAGGCTTACGGGAGCTCCCAAGAGGATCTTCTGCATCTGAGATTAAATCCATAAAGAGGATGTTATCTATATCGAGAACCAGGGTCTCTGCTCTTGCGTAACAATTTTCCTATGGTCGTTCGACTATCTCGCTTTTATGCGACTACGCCAACGTTATAGATGTCTCTCGCAAGAGACCTCTCAGTGCCTCAGGGTTAAGGATCTAAAAAGAGCCTGACAAGGGGAAAAATGTTCGGATATTGTAACACGGATTGCGTCGACAAGTCCTTCTTTGGTTTAATGGCCCTCCGATGTAAGACTTGCCTTATTAAATTTATATATATATATATATATATATATATATATATATATGCAGAAGTGTATGTAAATGCTTGGGGATTCTTATATGTTTATAAACGGGTGTCCATCGGCACCTCTCGAGGCTCTCTGGGTATCACCAAGCGCTGAGTTGAATTACACTTTAGGAGCTGTCAGAGGGGTATGATGGCGCACATTAACTTTCTGGTCATTTCCGACAATTCCCCAATCTTGGTGAAGGTTAGCTCGACCGAATGCATTTTTGTGAGCTAGCACGGTGTGGCCACGTGGGTAAATGTTCCGGTAGGCTCTTGGCGTAAGCCTATTCTATGTGAGAAGACCTCTAGATAGGGACGAAGTTCTTTGCAGGCTGAAACGAAATGGGGCCGACATAGTTGTAGTGGCAGTTTGCGCGATTGCAGACGACTAACTTCACCCGTGACTCTTCATACTGCTTGCAATTTTTACTCGAGTGTCATTACTGTCTGTGCTTAGTTTCATAATGGCTACAAAGCGGGGATAGAACATCCCGGGCCTACTGCTTTGTTATTTTAGCGCACCCATTAAGTAGCAGTCACGAAAAGGAGCCTACCCGACTTCGCTCGTTGTATTTGATTTCTAGTTATTTCGGCCTTATATCTTCAGCATCAAATCTTTATAAACATACATACAGACACGGTGAGATCTTCGCTCACGACCAACTCATTCTGAGCACCTTTGAAGCCCGCTATGCGACTGCTCGAGTAAATACTATGCTTACTACCGAGTTTTAGCATGACCCCTCGAAATGACCAGAGGCTTTGGTATTTCTCATATCCCAATTTTGTTCTTTCTCTTTCTTGCTGACGGTCTTTCAGACCATTCGCAATATGCAGAGAGAGAATCTCAATGACAATGATTGGGTTCTTTAGGCCTGACACCTACCATACATACGCCATCGTTCTATCAGACATACTCGGGATTACAAGTGGAGAGCCCTAGAGAATTTACAATTTCCTCTGCCAACTAGATCCCTTAGACATGATTTTCTGCAACCTAGGAGGAGATAGTACAAGCTCTCCTTGCGTAGCCCTTTTAATTCGACCAAAGGGAACCAAACATCTTTTGCCACCGTTACTGGTAGAAGGAGCATATCCAACGATAGTAGAAGAGAGACTGTTTCAAATCAGAATCGTTTGCCGCAGCGGTGATGATAGTGTAATGACAGTCTTAACGGGTAGAAGCCAAGTGGATACACTGCCCTATATACTCCAGCTTTAGCAAGTCTTGGAGACCTGCTCAGCGATATCATATCAGTTCGATCCTATGTAGGTCGCCCCGCTGCACTGCGGGAAGTTCTCATTAAAAAGTAAAGAAGAAACTAGCTAGATTCGGGAAATGGAAGCAAGAGGAAGTAAGGCGTAGAGACATGTTCTCGCGCGTCGGTTGTCGAAGGTGTCTGAGTACCCTCTAGCCGATAACTACTCGGCCAAGCTCCGTTTGATCTGAACGGCGTTGAGATATTGCTGAGATGACGGCAGAACGTTAAATTCGACTTGAGATGAATGTTAAAGTCTGAACTGTTTGCAAGGACGGAAAATGAAAAGGTTCTAGAAGACAAATATATATGTATGATTGATAAAAATACATGCCTACGTGTGTTTCGATTATCGTGCCGACAGCAAAACTGGTCGAGTCTTACGGTGTTTGAACCAGATAGGATGACGTCTACAATGCGGTTGATGCAAAGAACGGAGTTAGGCAAGTTTAGTGTTTCGATAACGACTTCAATAGCCGCTACTATATCTTATGCACATACTATATCGCATACCTAATAATAAACTGTAGGTTGAAGCATGAACGTATTAAAAGCACAGTAAACGGTTAAAGCCACCAATATTAAAGTATATCATCAATACTAAAGTATTAATTTCAACAAAAATATTAAAAAAATATCATTCGTGGGTCCTGTATTGAATTGTTAGAATGATTACTGTGCTAGTACTTTCTAGAAGAAAAAAACCCATTTGACCTGTAGATCTGCTCTTTTTTGCAAAGGCGCAATTGCCAAATGTTTGCGGCACACTCGCTGAATTACCTAAAAATAATTATAAAAATAACCTTCAAAAATCTAAAGATATCAAAAACAGAAGGTAGCTAAACAACCATGCGCGCCGTGTGTCTCAGGAAAGAGGAGACGTTTATTCTTCCAGATGAGTTTCATTTACATGTATATATATATATATATTCTTTATACCCTTGAAACTCGTCATTGTTACCAAGGGCGTATGTATCGCTCTTGTAAATCTATTCCTTTCCAATCTGAACCTGTACTGACCTCTATCGCACTTTTTGAGACAACTCGCTTGTTTTGTGTTACCTGATTTTTTAAGAAATCGTTTCTCACGTCTTGCATTTGCTGTCCTTTCAAGCTTCAAGAGTCGAAAACTTAGGAACCTTTTATCGAAGCATTCTGCACTTGTGAAGCATTCGCGTATACGTGTGACAGTATAAGCTAAAGTAATAGTTGAAAAAATACTCTTCGTCGGATTTTTTATAACGACTATTATCTCACTTAACGGCTAGTGCCATCTCACTGAAAATATGGTATTATCTTCTTTGATTTCGTTACTACTACCCGCGGTTATTGGCAAATTAAGCAGATTATGCCAAATATCATACGAGCCAGAAATAGACTCGCCCTCAACCCTACCTTTGTACTTACGAAGGCGTGCCTAATTCCTTATTAATGCGTCGACTTGGCCGGCTTCTGAAGGTTGTTTTATCACCAAGCTTCGGGTGTTAACTTCTTCTCAGATCCACCACGTCTGCCACAGACACCGCCACAGATCGACAAGTCAGTTCGGTCCTAAGTTATCGGGTTGTCCTAATGCGATGTGTCGACACAGTTGCATTCTTTTAGAGCGCAAGCGAGATCTTTTATCTATTCACTGCAATATGTCAGTCGCATCTCTAAGTGCGAACGGATGCCCGCTTAGCTCGCTTGTATCAGCATGGAGAATAACCAAGCAGCAAGGCACCACGCTGTCTAAATCGCGCCTCTTCTCAAATCCAACAAGGAGCAGGTGGCTCCTCCTGGCGGGCCCAATGCGGGCTTGGTCCAGGGCACTAGATCGCTGCTGCTGCCACTGGCCATAGCAAGGGTGGCCAACCCTCGACTCGACGATGCTCTGCGCTTGGCGCTCGACGGTGCTTGCTTGCTCCTAGGCTTCGAGCAACGACGGAGACTTGCTGTATCGCTGTGTACAGCTGCATCAGGTATCTGCGCTTGCAGCTTCCTCATCGGTATTCTTGCATATCGTCTGCTTGCACCACCACTCCGGATAACTTCAGCGCCCCCTACGATGCTCTGACTGGTGTTCACTCACCGAACAGCCGAACCACCCGAGCCCCCAGCAGCAGGAGATGCGCGTGAATCGAAAGGAAGCAAGCATCGGGTGTTAGTGAGTAGATCCTTCCGTTAAAAAAACATCAAGAACAACTGAGCGACGATGGCTAGTGGTAATTCTCAACGCGCTGTGAGCATGGCCTTGGCAATCTGACGCGACGCCAGCAAGAGGACGGCGTGACGTGAAGCCGTTGCTATCTGAATGCTGCTAGTAAGCGACGGTGTGGTGGTGACGTTCAACGGGGCACCGTGGCCGGCCTGCGGATCGAGGACGTGTGCCTGGCCTCCTAAGTGCCAGGCACGCAGTTTCGTTGCCGGCCAAAGATACGCGGTTCATGTGACCTGAGCTATGTGGAACGCATTTAGCGAATGCACGAATTCGTATCGACCGAGTTCGAAGACTTGTAGTAGCCGTGATTGTCGATGACGGCGATGACAAGCATAATCAGCAATGATATTGTCGAGAGGGAACACTGAGGCTCGACCGTACTATCTAGTACCAGAGCGGGTAGAAACAAAAAAAGACGGTTAGTTAGTAAAGCTAAAGCGACCACGCAAGTATATACCAGACAGGGTTAATGAGCCGTGTGCGCTGCGCGTGTCATCGATTAGAAGATACAATTATTACATTAGGTTACGCTTAAGCTGGTGTTACGCCTCTAAAAGTAGAGGGATGTGTCAGGGGAAACGATAACGGAATCCTTGCTCCCCGATAACTGCTACGCCGTGGTAACGTGAGAGCGACGTCGGCAGTATGGCCATGGATATCACATTGAAATATAATTCGTATAGACTCTAATAACCAACATGTTGAAATCACCTTATATGAATCGCTGCACGAATTGGGTATGTGCTTTCGACGGGAGCACCTGGCTCGCAAATTGTCGTTGCATTGTGTTATCCCACGTTACCAGCGTCGTACCTCTAAAATTGGCCGTGTAGGGCAGAGTATCTGCTGAAGACCATCGTTGCCTTTTCGGACTAAGATAGAAGGTAGACCGTGCAAGAAGTCCATTGCGGAATCTGCCCCTCGTTAAAGCGAACTACGGGGACTATGCAGTGGTTCGCGCAGGTTTCGGCATCATTTCTAGAAAGAAGTCGCCTGACTAAGCTCATCGTCGCCGGAGAAAAGTATTGAAAATACCGAGTTCTCTTTTTAAAGAAGAGAGGAACATCAGTACGAAACAGCGGTGGTTTTGCTACCCCATCCGATTACAGGACGCAGTATTTGTGCCTGAGTGCGCGAACATTGTGTTATCTGACGAGTGCCGTCTCAACCACTAATTAAAAGTGCGTCAGTAAGTGCAAGGAGCTTGACACCACTAGAAAGCAGTGAATGTGTCTCTAGGTCATTATAATCCGTGGGTTTCATGCTGTTTTGTAACGCAGGTCTAATATTGTGTACTTCTTTCTCACCGACTACTGGGGATTCCTCTATCGGACTGAGTCAGATGCACCTTTCACCGTGGTACCGTGGATCTCCATACTCGCGTCGTCACTACATTGTATCCTGGATTTAGTGTCTGTGTACAGCATCTAACGTTTTTCGGCCTGCAGCCTTGTGGCAAGACACCTTTTTCTGCAAAAGAAAAAAACCGCGAAATAGAAGCGCGCCTATGGTGTTTAGTGAGTTATGATATGTCAGTGTTAGCTGCCTAAGCTAGGTCGGGTTGCGAGTAGCCCGTTTGCCAACAAGGAGTATTACACTGGCAATTTTAGGTAGAAAGAGGATACAGCGAATGCTAGAGAATACATTCTACTAGACGAACAGTGCTGCCACGAGTGTCGACAGGACGGACGGGACGACGAGAACGTAAAAATCCTACCCTCAAAAAACTTACTCTTGGAACAGCTGAGAGCCTAGCTAACGACCAGCGAAACTACCGTCGGCAACCAAAGCCCTGTCTACCCAGCTATAGCACCCAGAGGAGGTAAACCAGCAAATAGTGAAAGGTAGACATTGATTAGGAATGGTCCGAATAGACAAGGCTGTTTTGTAAAATAGGATATTTCAAAGGGACGAAATGGGGAGTTTCATAGAACCCTCGTAAGGTAATGGCAATACAGAGCTTAAATTTGAAAAAAAAAAAAATTCTACCCCTTTGCATCAATTGGTTGGTTAGGCGTCCCTCGGTATCTCGCAGATAGAGCTCGGGACCTCTAATTACAAGTCAGAAGATTACGAAGGAATCAGTAGATAGGAAACACCAGCTGGAGCGATGTATGCTACACGTGCGCCACTTGACCATGACGATGACCAAATGAGTCAACTGTTTTCAGGGATGCCACAGGGTTTAACACGTTAATTGGTAACTTTAAAGAGTAAAAGATTACAACGCGTGACAGCATAGTGTCACATTAAAGCGCTAAATTCCATAATGTTTCGCATCAATAATCAACCACATATAGAATTGTTTCAGGGTGCGCTTTTTCTTTCAACAAAGCCACCAGTCACTCGCCATATACGTCTGATCTCGTCTTTCCTCGTATCTCGATTGGCTTTTTTTCTTTCACTCTCAGAACTAACGTAACCGAGCCCCGCCCGTCCGACCGGCCTGACCCTGTATGTCCAGCGACACCATAAAAGCTCGGTGGTAAATGGAGAAATTCTAATGCGTGTGTGCGGTTTCGACTCACATTTCGATCAGGTTCCGTCGCGACAGTGGGTACGAAAGAACCAGCGGTATGTGAAACCTCGTGAAGAGAATTAACTCGAGTCTCTTAGGGATTCTTTACGAATTTTTGAGGCAGCAGGCAAACCAGCAAATGCTGCTTTTTGGTTTCCTTTTTATCGATGCTGACCAACTTAGTTTGTGTTAACGCTGTGATCCGTTCTGTTCTGCGTAGGGTGTGCCTTTGTAGCCAGTGCAGTATGTGGCGGCCTTGTTGGACTCTAATTCTTCGCAACATTTTCCTTTGAACTTCCTTTGGCTTATCCCTGTCTCGGCCTGCCGACGATGGCCATCTGCGTAGACCTTCTCGGCCGATGCCTGAGTCATAAACATTGCTTGTGCTAGCATTGCCTCTAGTATTGTGCTAGTATGATAACGATGCCAAAAAGACGAAGTGTACTATTTGACGGTGGTGGCAGAGTGTACATATTGCGGATAGATGCACAAATCGACAGTGGAGCCATTTTGAAACCAGATATAGCAGAAACACTTGTACGTCATTTTTTAGATGTAACTGCTACTGTGTCATCAACAAATCTAACCTTCTCCCCACCCCACTTTTGTCGGGAAAAAATCGCCAACCGCCAGTTCTTCGTCTGGCTTTTACGACCGCAGTGCCACGATCACATATCAGGCAGCAGTGTTATATCCTGAATATCCAAAAGACAGCTCTAATTTAGAGAAGGCTATATCCAGCTCTAGCTCGGTCTTAGCCAGAGCTAATAGCATGGAGTAACGGCTAACGTTTGAATGTGCCAACACCATCACTTGCCGCGTGCAGATTAGCATTGACTTTTGGTGACGGTGAGCCGGGAATCGTAGAGTCTACTCTACTATGTTAGAGTTATTTTGTAATGGAGTATGGGCCTACCATTGTTCCAGCCCCTAAAAAGTATGACTTTTTCGTTTTCTATGGCAGACCAAAGTGGTATCTCTAATCGACAAGCTGCGATCCGACCACTGCTTTGCAGTCACCGAGTGCTTAGCCAAAACGTGTAACGTGGGTAGTGTTATGATGATCCCACGCTAAATAGCCCACATGGTCGAGCCGCCGTGGCTCAGCCCTCTAGGGGCAACTAACATGAGAGCTCACTGCGTGGACAGGGGGCCGGATCAAGTGGAAGTGGTGTTAGTAATGCTACTGGAAAGAGCGGCACTAGCTGTAGGAATAGCAACTGAAAGCGACGGGGCGTCTACATACCGTCTATTGTCATGGCTCTACGGGAGCAAATTTCTGTTGATGTCCGCTTCCAGCTTCCCAATACATTTATGTTCAGTCTAGATAGTCTATGTTTGGCCCGTTCTACCAAGGGCTTGAGGAAACCTCGTCGTGTTTGGTCCCAGGAATTGTAGTCATTTCCGCACTGATTTCGCTGTTATATCGCCTATATTCTGTATTTGGTGTAGTTGTGTGCTTTGTAAGCGGAGGGGTGAGGTGCGCTATGAATGGCTGACATACAGTGCGTACCATACACCGCGTGAATAGCTAATACTGCCAACTAAGTGTGCTTCATTCACTGCTAGAGCACTCTCCAGCTCTCCACATATATAGTTACTATTAACGGCCATGGGTTGTTGTACTGGTACCTGTTACATTTCGTACATAGCAGTAAACAGTCATAAGAATGTCGTCGTCGTCGTGGTGTCTCCGGCATGTGAACTAGCTACTTAGCAATGACAGAACTATTAAAAACAAGAAACAGCGTAGACGACTTCATTCTGGTTACAACTTTTTTAATACAGTGATTTCAACTTGAAGAAAAGTGGAACATAATCGTTTTGTTTGAGGGCTCCGTGACCTAACTTCGGGAGAGACTTAAAGGCAAGATTTGCTCAAATCACAATTGTAATTTGCGCAATTTAAATGCTAGGCGCCGTTCCGATTAGGTGGACTTTCATAGCCAGTACCAATGTTAGATTTTGCATAGACATGCGGCATGATTCGTTGAATCATACTTAAATGCAAAATCAATCGTACAGTGGAAGGGCAAATAACATTACAAGCTCCCGATGACTAAAAGTATTGCATAAGCATGATATAAACATAAAAAACAATATGATTATTAGTAAGCGTTAATATAATGCGTTATACTTGTATGTGTTGACCTTAGAACACATCGGGCTTAGGGTGTTAACAGGTTACAAACGAATAAGTATGCCACGAAGTTCATGGTAATCGTCGGTCATATGAGTTGTCGACCTGTCTTCTGAGCTAGTTTTGCCTTTGGGAGGTTTGACCTTCTGGGCTTTATGTTTGTATTGATTCTAGTTGGATATGAATTTTCGGTATGTATATACGTATATATAGGATGGAGTAAACATTACTTAGGGATTTGAGTCTTTACTCTTTAGCCTTCTTTTTACTACATTCTAGAGTTCTGTTACTCAAACAAATGTAAAATAGAACTCTGGTACTGTTATGACTTCTTCACACTGTTAAAGGACTTTTGCCCCACCTATATGAAAATTGATATCATCTGTTTGTGAGCTGCGTCTAAATAATAATAGATCTTTGGGCGAATTTTTTTGCCTCTGCCTACAGAGACATGTTTATTTAATAATGATAATTTGCTCTAATCATTCAAATATATACATATATACGTAAAAAATTATCATTGTACTATTATCTTAGGATACACTACGGTGCGCGTTGAGCAGTGTATGATTATGCTTTGTTGAATTCGTCAAGTGTTTTTTCCCTATTTTTAGATTTTTTCTTGCTTTTTTTTTTTTTTAATTGCTGATAGGTTAAATAGGATTGAATGTATGTGATTGAGTAATTAACTGCTGTAGCAATTTTTTTAAATTTATATATATATAAAACATATAAAAATACATATATAAAAAAAGATTTATATAAACACACGTAACGTTGATGCAACAAGCGAATGCTCTTAACTTGGAGCCAAAGGTGAGATGAAAATCGGGTAAAGCGTGAGTTGTTGCCGTAGCACTGAAAAGACAAACGTAATACGTAGATAGTGTAAATAATTTATTGTCTGGGCTCAGCTAGGTGCTCAATAAAATCTTAATTTTGTACTTGGTTATAAAGATTCTATTCTTTCTATTCTACTCGGCAACTTCATCATGAGATTCAATGCGAAACCAATCGTTTTTTGTTGTTGACTTAACTGTCAATTAGTTTAGCCATCCGTCGCTGTATTCCGTATCTGCATCGCTGGATCGTCTCATCAGTCATGATGACTGCACTGTTTTTGATTACCGTTAGATCTACCACGTAGATATAACAAATGACGATCGGGAGCAATCATTCATTAACTATTAGCACTTTACTATTGGCGCATTCGAAATTAGCGGTATTCACCCATACCTATACATATTCGTATTGTCGTTTCCACAGTGCAGGATTTAGCTGATATTTTCGATGAGATCTGGCCCACTTACCTGCGTCCGTTTGTCGGTTCTCCGGCCATACAGGAGCGGCCGCCGACAGTGGCGCTTTTAGCGCGAGTAAATGGGAATATTTGTATTGATTTTACAGCACTTACCTGGCTCTTGGCAATTGGATCCTGCAATCTGTTAACATAAGCGGCTGGGCAACTAGATGTCGCCGGATCTTCGAATGTTCCCTGGCCAGTACTAAGTGAACTTCATAAACGAAGTTAATGTGCCGCACGTAAGCCAGGAAAGTGATCAAAGTAACTAAATTGGCCTTTCTAATCAGCCGAAACGTCTACAGACTCGCGATAGCGTAGTTTCTCACTACGAAGTACTGTCATGTGGAACAGCATATATGGGCAATTAGCAACGTTTGGGTATAGGTATCGTGTCGAAGGCATACTGACGAGGCCCGTAGTACATTATGTGCCATAATTTGGCATTAATTAAAATTTTATTTGAGTGTAGAAGAGATGTCGACGAGGAACGAGATTGCAACTTCACACGTGTAATGCTAATTGCTATAGGCAGGTATATTTACTATAGTGGTAATAGCTAATTATTATATATATAAATAATATATAATATAACCGCCACCCGAACAAATAACCGCATCTTGATGATCCTAATCTATATATTGTCGAACTTATAAACGTGAAAGCGCTATAGGCGACCTTGAGACGCTCATTTAAAGCTACGTATTACCAAAATATCAGAAAATGAATTAGACCTAAATTGTTCACCCAGGAACACGTATTGAGGTTTATAAACAACAAACCACACACGGCGCTATTATAGTAGTATGCCATTTGGACAATAATAATAATTGTTCACGATAATGATAAATGTAGTGCAT